TTTGAATTTATAGTCTGCTAGCTTGATAGACTTTGACTCGAGTATGACTAATAAAAATAAAAATATAAAATTCTGAATAAATTTTAATTTATTTCAAATATGACTGATGAATTTGTAAATGAATTTCATGACATGTTATAAAACTTCATTCCACGAAGCGAGATTCTAAAAAATTTTGCAAGATGTCTTTTTTTTTTTTAAACCACATTTCCTTTTTATGTAATTTTTTAATTGCCCACTTAACTTTCTACTTATTCTTGTTAATTCAGTCATCAGTTCGGAGAGTTGATCTTCACTCCGGGAAGGTATATGCCTCTAGTCTAGCATTCAGATTTTCTTGAAGACTTTTCATCTGTTTTCAATTGTCCAATTCCCAATTCATTGTTTTGATGTCTCCCAATCACTTTTAAGAATTGTTTTTATTTGGATTATGGCCGCAGCTATTGGTTTTATTTATTTATTTTGTCTTTTTGATAGGTATTTAAACCTCGTGATGTTTCTTATCTACAGGTTTTGGCTCTTCAAAAGATGAATAGCTCTTTTTTTTGGAGAAGGCCTAACTCTTCTTGGTGAAAGGTTCATGACTTGGAGACTGGTTCTTGGCATTTTCAGTTAAACTGATTGTGAAATGATTGATTGCTTAAATTACATTGAATTTGGTACTTTAACCAGACTGAATTAATCAGAAATCAAATATGAGCCCAGATGGATGGGAAGAAGTTTTTCATTGCTTCTTGTGTATCAATCCACTGAAGCAAATAAACTTAACAGATTTTCTTCTTATCTTTTCCATTCTCTCATCCCAAGTCCCAACCAACCAGAAGCCTGTCTCATGCCTCCATTTGGACCGAACATCACAACCTAGGAGTCAAAATTAGAGGGGCTAAAGGGTTATACCAAAGTCCTGAGAAGTTTGCAGAGGTGATGTGGGATTGAATGGGCTTTTTTCTTTGGAAGAACGTTTCTGACAGTGGTATCCTGAGTCGTAGGTTTTTGCATATGTTGGTACCTGGTTTGCCAACAAATGCATATTTGTTTTGGGAGAATCACATGGTGTTTGTGAGTAACTAGTAGCAGTCAAATTGACAGAAGGAAAAATAGAAATATGAAAATATAGCTGATAATTGAAAGCAGATAATTTTCTTGTTAATTTTGTTTTCTTTTGAATAATCACACAATCATGTTTCCCTTTCCCCTGAAAATTACAGTGATATTTCTGAAGTCCAAAGAACCTCCTCAGAATATGGAATTAATTCATTGAAATTTTATTTTGAAATAGATTTTTGTGCTTGTTCTAGTACTCAGTGTTTGATTTGCTACCAAAATAATTGCAATTAGTTGCAACTGGTGTTAGGTTTAGTATGATTGCTTTAGTTGATTTGATTGCATGTCCTGGTTTCTTCCCTCATTGATTTTACATATGCAGTTCTGTAATAGAACTGATGTTTTTAAGGTCCTGGCTGCAAGACAAGGTATATTACTTGTCTTGGATTCCACATCGGAAATTGGGATTTCAGTGTGGGTTTATATGAACTTGGGCTCTCTAACCTTAATGACTAGTTTTTGAGATATGGTTCTTCCAAGGTCATAATAAATGTACTATGCTAATATGGTGTTTTTTTTTTTTTTAGGTTGTTCCAAGTGACTTTGTTGACGAATACTGGTTTCATATATGACCGGGATGATTTAACTAAAGTTTGTATCTCATTGTTTCTGGTTCTGCAAATATATATGCATGCTTATTTATTATGCTGTTAAGTTATTTTCTAATCTAAGCATTCCTTTCTTAGATGTTTGTAATATCTTGTTTGGTTTTAATAGCACCTTATCCCCCAAAACATCTCTAGTTCTTTTTTTTTTTTTTTTTCTAATTCCGAGATGGTTTAATTTTCACTACGCAAACCTGAAACTTTGCCATTTTTTGCAATTATTATCACATCCTACTCATCGAAGAGCATTCTGGACCAATCTTTAGTTTTCCATACAACTTGCTATTTCCATTCTGTAGGCTGTAAAAATGTCTGTTTGCATTGGTCTTTTGAGGTGGCCAAAAGCTATTGTTTTCAGAGGGTTAACAATTTAATTTTTACTCACCTGGTGCAGGTCGAGAAATTTACTCATCAGATGCATGATGGTTGGGGACTGGCAACTGATGGAAAAGTTTTGTTTGGCAGCGATGGAACTTCAACATTGTATCAGTTTGACCCAAGAACATCTAATGGTTTCTCTTTCATACAGAAGTTTTCATAATTCCTTGTTCCAGTTCCCTTGATATTCTTGTTCTTCTTAGTATTATCTTACATTGTTTTTGTTGTTTTTTCCGGGTTTTATTTATACTCCTTTCAACTTCAGTGGATATAAACTTCAATTTTTTCGGTGAATAATTATAGCATAGTATTTGTTTAACCATCTCTTCTAACTTTTCTATCCCTCCATAATTTGGCCCCTGTACCTGCTTGATCTTGATATATAATATCTCTTGTTTGTTAATTATAAACTTAAAACACTTCTTTTTTTTTTTTTTTTATAAAAGAAAAATAGTTGTGTAAAAGCTGCTTCATGTGTTTAGTTTTGTTGCAGTAACTGAAAAACACATTGTCAAGTACAGAAATCATGAAGTGCGCCTCCTCAATGAACTAGAGTTTGTAAATGGCGAAGTATGGGCTAATGTTTATATGGTACTGTTCAAACTTCATTTGCTTTGGATATTGGTTGATGATTTTCCAAAAATAGGTACTCCTAGGCATTTTAGTGAAGACATTGGCATGGTAGTTTGCTTCTGGAAAGAATTAGTGCAAACATAGAGAGAACTAGATCTTCAAGTCTCAGTCTTGGTGAAGAGAACATTTTATCCCTAGTCTTTGCTATAAATGGAATAAACTTTTCTAATATACCTAGTTGATGCTGGGAGATTCTCATACACCCAACCAATAGGTGAATGGCATTTTTAAAAACTGTTTATTGAAATTACTTTTATGTCAAATTTTTCCCTAGAGAAAAAGACATCCAATGCCCTTTTTCCCTCACATTACATGTTACAAATTTATAATCAATATTATTTAGGTGTATATATTCAGTGTACGCAAGTCTTTCTCTTTGATGTATCTGATATCTTTCTAATGTTTGTGTTCTCATTATGTAGACTGATTGTATTGTAAGGATCTCTCCTAAAGATGGGACTGTGGTTGGATTGATTCTTCTTGAAAATTTAAGGTGTTGTTTAAAAGTTTCCTTCTCTCTATATTTTTATTATCCTTTTTTTCTCGAGTCTGATCCTGAGAGTAATAGGTTTTTGTTTTTTTCTTTTTTGTTTTTTGTTTTTCATATTCTTAGTTTCACGGAGTCATGCTTTTGTTTTTTACAGGAAAGGATTGATAGCAGCTGGATATACGGTAAGCATTTAATCAGATATAACAGATGTTTCTTCGTAGAAAAATTAGAATATTGTCGGGAAATGATGTTTGTGATTAAATTCTTGGCTAAAGCTTCTCTGCATTTTTAATCAAACTTCCTTCCTCTGTGACTCTGTCTATTTGTGTTTGTGAATAATTATACATCTATGTTTGTCTTTCCTTCCTTTAATGAAATATAACGTGAATATTGTTTTTTGCTCTATTAACCCGAAGTATATGAAAATTTCAATTCCTTCCAGAACATTGATGTTTTAAATGGAATAGCATGGGATAGCAAAAGCAACCGTCTTTTCGGTAAGTTGCTACAGTAGTTTAACCATGTACTATAAGTGTATATCTGACCCTTTCTTTTCATATATCGTGAATTGTCGTTATTAGACTGCGTACTTCGGTAGCTGTTTTTGGGTTTTGATTTATTACATCTCTACGATATTTGCTTGCAGTTACGGGAAAACTATGGCCAACGCTTTATGAAATCAAATTGCATCTGACGAACAAACATGTCGATATCGGAGTGATTAAGCAGCTTTGTATACCATAATCATCTATGCCCACAAAGATGTTAGGGTCGTTATTAAATAAATGTATTGGTTATTACCAATTTCCTGAATTGTATTGGGCTTTATATTGTAAGTATGGAACTCTATTAAGTTGGGTCAACTGTTAATTGCTTATGTGGCTGATTGTGCCGATGTGTAAGCCACATAGGCTGAGGTTTATATATGAGCTGCAAACTCTATTTTCAGTAATCAATGAATTACAATCAGACCTATCTCTTCTTCTCTCTAATCCTCTCGATTCCTCTTCTTTCTTCTTTCTCAGAAAACCTAATTTCTTATAATGTTAAGGTGACCATGAGCTCATTCCTCGACAAAAGATTTTGATGGACTAACTGGTACATCCAATGGAGGATTTTAAATCTTCTTGTTCATGTGCAATGAACTTGATCGTGAAGTTTTTTCTGACACGAAGGAGAGACAGGTGGATTGGAGGATAGTCACTTGATTCCTTGGGAACTTGTTCATGCTGGTTGTTAGATACTTGGAATGTGCCATTGGCTTGCACCAAGGAGTTAAGACGGGATGATATGCATAATGTCAAAGAAATAATAGAATGTATAGTGAACCACTGTGCAATGGATTGGAAATGTTCTTGAGTTTGCTTTTGCTCTTTCTCCCTCTCTCTCTCTCACTGAATTTTATTAAAACTGTTGAAAATTTAGTCTCTCTCATGCCATGGGGCTATACAACACTTCTCAGGACTCATCGAATTAGAAATCTCTCATTTTTTACGCAAGTGAAAAAATCAATCAAACCATATTTGATTAGTCCACATCTCTTTTGTTAAATATGAAATGAATTTAAAAAAAAAAAAGTTTTTTATGTTATGAACTGTATATGGAATGGAATTTTAACCTTAAAAAGCCAGTCAGGAAAAAAAAGAAAAAAAGGTTAATACGTATTGAAGAATTTGCCAAATAGCTTTTGTTTCACAAAACGCGGGATTCATGGCTAATAAAAACAAACAATTCACAACAACTAATATTTCTTCAAGTGGCAACTAACTGTTAGATTCATTTGGTGTCAAGCTACGGTCTTATCTACGCCAAAATTATACCCAGATTTCCCGCTACTGCCGCTGGTTAGTTGGCACGTCAAACATTTGAAACTAAAACAACCCCAAGATGTTCTGCCTAAGCTCAAATTCCTCTCTGCATCTGCTAGAAATCTCCTCCATCTCCATTTCCATGCACCTCCTTTCACCTCCCTCTATATCTAATCATGTCTGTTAACAAAAATCTTTCCAGGCATACCTCCCTGTTCGGCCTTAGATTATGGGTTATTCTAGTTGCTTTCACTATACTCTTCACTGTTCTCTTCCTTATCACCATTTTCCTCTGCATAATCTATCTTTGTCGCCAAAAGTCCAGATCCTCCAAACCTCATTTCAGTTTACCGAACGCAATTTCTCGCAAGAACTATTGGACTTGTAATAATACATCATCTCTAGACAGGAGACTATTGTCGAGCCGAATATCGGAGATTGAGATGAACATTGCTAAGCTCGACCACCATAGTTCGGTGGTGGTATCGCCTCAGGCTAGTGGAATGATCACAATTCAAAGAAGTGGTAATCTTGTGTCTGATTTGGAATCGGTTGCTAGGTATTCGTTTATGGCTTCAGATGCGTGGAGAGGAAATAGGTTTTCTTTAAGGGACATTGATGTGGTGACTAATGGATTTTCTGATGAGAATTTGATCGGAAACGGCGAGTTTAGTGGTGTTTATCGTGGCATTTTGTTGGATACTACGAGAGTGGCAGTAAAGAGACTTTTCAGTAAGAGGTAATAATGCTTTATAATTTTTGTGCTTCATTAATTAATATTGGATAATTTGATTTCAATAGAATCGCACATTGCTAAGAAGCTGAGTAAATCAACCAGTGTTCAAGTTGATGATTTTATGAATAAAGTGGAGCTAATAGGACATGTTAGACACAAGAATTTAATCAAATTGCTTGGATATTGTACGGAAGGAGGTTACAGGTGTGGAATTTAATTTTTGCGTCTTTTGCTTGAATGTGTGTGTTTATGTATATAATTTTCATTTCATTAGTAATTGTTCTTTCTATTAGAATGCTTGTGAATGAGTATGTGGATAATGGTAATCTGCATCAATGGCTTCATGGATGTCAAGAACAAGTCAGCCCCTTAACATGGAGTATAAGAATGAACATTATCCAAGGAGTAGCAAAAGGGTGAGTTATTTGATTCTGAGCCTTACTTGATGAGATCCGATTTCTTTTATTCTATGTTCATACAGTTTGAAGAATTTGTTTCTAAAGATTAGCGTACCTTCATGAGGATATCGAACCGAAGATTGTTCATCTAAATCTAAAATCTACCAACGTACTGCTTGATCACCAATGGAATCCTAAGATTTCTGATTTTGGAATTGTTAAGCTTTTTGGTACCGAGGGAAATGACTTAACAACTAGTCTTTCTGGGTAAGCTTTTCTGGTCGGTTTCATGATCTTTCACTGCAAAGGCAATGTGCCAAATTAAGTTATGTTAAGTGAAACCTAATAACTTGCAATAGTATATTCTTCCAGTTACTCATCTCAAGAATATGCTTCTAATGGAGTTTTAAATGAGAAGACCGATGTTTATAGTTTTGGAATACTTGTAATGGAGATCATATGTGGAAGAAAACCAGTAGATCACAATCAATCCCAAGTAAATACTGATTGAATCACTTGTATGCTTTTTTCACACCCTTGTTTGTTTATATTTATATCCTCTGACACAGAGATTAGTCATCATTTGCAGATATATTTGATTGACTGGTTGAAATCCATGGTTGCCAACCAGAAAATCATGTATGTGGCAGATCCTAAATTGACAGATATACCGAATTCAAAGGATCTCAAACGCATACTCTGCCTCGCTCTTCGATGTGTTGATCCCGATTTACAGCATAGGCCTACGATGGGAGATGTGATCCACATGCTTGAGCCACGTGATTTACTACTAAGTGATGTAAGAAACTACTTAGAAGGACATAAAGTCTTGATTATTATTTCCTAACGAAAACCTTAACATAATTTCTCATGATCATGATTTTAGATTCACGAACGTCGGCTTAGGAGAGACTCTTCATCTCATCGAATTTGCTCTCAGGAGAGTCAGATTGTTGCAAAATCAATTGAGGATGAATTTAATACACGTGAAGGGGAAAGCAGCTGTAATGTCTATCAGAAAATGATGTCAAAATGAGACAAAGAAGAGAGGTCATAATTTCAATATATATATCCATACATTTATTTGATGGTCATTTGCAATTACATTAATCATAAGAGTTCAACGGAAGCTTTTGTTATCTGTTCCAATGATAGTTGGTTAAATAAGCTAAATAACAGCACAAATATGCTATTTTTTTGTTCTTTTTATTTGTTGCCTTTTTGAAGGACTAAAACACTGTTGATCATAATTCTGCCAACCATCAAGCAGTGATAACAAACTTTAATTAGATTGAAGTAGCTTTACAAGTCTGCATCTTAACCGTTTCAATTGCCAGCTTATCTTCTGGGAAAGTGCATTTGGTGTCTTGTTCAGGTAATGAATCGCAAGGTTTAGGAGTCACATGACTTGAAACTCCCTTCACATTAGTGCAGTTCCATTGCAGCTCTTTTGCATCTTCACTCAATGTTATAGTCGCATTGGAAATGCAGATTCCAGAGAAGGGAGCCTTAGAAAATCCATCAAGTGCTGCTGTAATAGTAACATTATCTGCAACAATGTCACTGTAATTTATACCTGTAATCTCAGCTAGTGCATTTGGATCAAACCCATCATCTGGGTGTGACTTATAAGCACCTGTCATCCAGAAAACATACTTCATGTTTTTCATGGTCATCCTTCTTACAAAAATGTCTTTTATAAAGCCTCCTCTTCCAGCTGCAGTTTTGATTCTGACACCAGATTGTGTGTCGACTGCTATAACATCTTCAACTCTAACATCCTGGATACCGCCTGACATTTCACTACCAAGGGCAATGGTAGCACTGTCAGGGGAAATGCAGGTTAACCTTCTTACAACAAGGTGTTCTGTGGGCATTGCAACTTTAAGTCCATACTGATCCCACCCACTTTTAATTGCAATGCAGTCATCTCCCGATACGATGTAACAGTCTTCTATCAGACAATTTGAGCATGAATCTGAAAAGAAAAGGCAGGATTATGTTTCAGCTAATATGAGTTCAGTAGCTCAGTAGATACAACTAAGCTGTCAGAAGTTGCTCAAACCTGATAACATACTTCCTCTTCAGAGTTACCATAACAGGAGAAAAGATAAATGTGAAGAAAACCAACCTGGGTTAATCCCATCTGTGTTAGGCACCTCTATTGGGGCTAGAATCGTCACCTGTTTGATATACACATTACTGCACATTTCAAATTTCATCAGAAAAACACAATAGATGAATATTAGAATATGTAATGCAATTATATTCTGAAAAACTGCAGATAATAAAAAGATTGACAAACCTGCAATAAATAGGATGGATATGCCAAGATGGAGAATTGATGAAAGTAATGTTTGTGATTTGGAGCTGACTAGAATACATAAGCTCAATCAGGTAAGGTCGGGTTGCCTTAATTTCACGTTTTTTGTACTTTTCCCACCAGGGAGCACCTTGGCCATCAATTGTGCCATTGTTACCTAATGGTAAAAAGGAAAAAAAGAAAAACAAAGCTTTAAAATCGAAACGTATATATTTAATTATATAGAAACCAGAAGCATAATTTGCATGATCATTACCAGTAATTACAACATCGGTGAGGTTCATCCCAGAAAGGAGGCTCGCAAACCTTCCCTCGGGAAATTCTTTTTCTACCCCGTAAGAAGGTAATGGAGCAATTATAGGCCAGTCTTCCTCATTCTGCACATGTGATCATACAAGTTATATACCAGATGATCCTAATAGGAATATACGCAACATAAGGATTGCCATTTCAGGATTTTCTGATGTACACAGAAAAAAACAATAATAAATAAAAATTCACACCGACTGATTACCTGGGAACCAAGAAGAACGGCATCCTTATGGAGAAAAAGGGTAAAATGGCTAGTGAGATTGAAGCTTCCAGTTAACCATCTCCCTGGTGGTACAATAAGTTCTACTCCTCCATCTGAAGTATATTTACTTAGATTGGCAATAGCATCTTGAAATGCCTTTGTGTTCAATGTTTTTCCATCTCCAACTCCTCCATAGTCTGTCAAAAATGCACTGTGCTTACGGCAATTTATGGCAGGATATTCCACTGATGTATCCTTGTCGAAAACCATTACATTTCTGCATTCTGCTATCCTGGAACTACATGATCCCACTAGGATTATGACACAGATAATCTCAAAAACCTGCATAAAATTGTAACAATTAGGAAAGAATTACGGTTAATAATGATTTGTGGCATAATTGGAAAGAAGAGGAGGAAATTACATTGAGTAGACTGAATTTTAAGCACAAAGACATTTTCATTTCTGTTGGTTTTTTTCTTTTCCACTTCTTGGTTCTTAAATAGATGGGAGAATTTCAAGACGGGATAAATATAAGGAAATAGCTAATTAAGGCGGCTTTATTTTTAGAGTGGAAAACTCAAAAATGCTAAAAATAATGGTTAAGTCGAATTTGCATTGGTTGGGATGCCGGCCCATTTACATACTCTGCGGATGCCATTAGTGGTGGTGTATTGTTGTGGCCAACTCCTTTTATTCTCAGCGGATAATTAATTCCCCGTAAAATTTGCTGATATTTATATCGGTAAATTTACTGAAATGACTCACCTATACATTAAATCAATTATAATAATATTTTGGTTATAAAAAAAAAAAAACAGCAATATTAAAAAAAATCTTTCTTAATTAGTTCAGTGTATAAACACCGGGTGGGTTTATGTATCTTACCAAATCAAGCACATCAATTAAAGACCAAATGAATAAAATTTTCCATGTACCAAAAAAATCCAATATAAATAAACAAAATATCACCTATTTATAGTTAGTAGTTAAAATTTCAAATTAAATTCCATAAACAGTGAACAAGCTCTTATATAATTTTCATAATTATATTGCATTATTTAAATTAGATATTTGTAATTAAAATGCATCGGTAATTCAATATCTAAGAATGTAATTTTGATAAGCAAAATCCTGACTCTTAAGTAAAATAATCCAAATTAAACCCATTTCATTTATTTCTTTGAAGAAGAACAATTAACATGTAATCTATAAATCTAGCAATTTGCTTGAAGGCAGAGAGCATGTTTGAAGCTTAATATTGTCAATTGGAAGAGTATCTTTAGGAAAAGGACAGTCGATCTTTTTCTCGGGCAACAAATCACACGCTTTAGTCGTCACATTGCTTGTAACTCCTGCAATGTCAGTGCAGTTCCATTGTAGTTTCTTCGGTTTTTCTGTCAATGTAATATCTGCATTAGAAATACAAATTCCGGTAAAAGGATCATTTTTTATTCCGTCGAGTCTAGCTGTATAAGTCACGTTCTTAGCCACAACGTCGTTGTAATTTATTTGAGTAATATTAGGCAATGCTTTTGGATCATATCCTTCGTCAGGGTGTGAGCCATAGGATCCAGTCATCCAGAAAACATACTTCATAGTCTGAAAGTTCATTTTTCTGACAAAAACGTCTTTTACAAAGCCTCCTCTTCCAATTGCAGTTTTTATTCTGACACCAGACTGTGTGTTGATTGCTGTAATATCTTCAGCTCTAACGTCCTGGATTCCGCCTGACATTTCGCTGCCAAGAGCAATTGTAGCACTATCCGGGGAAATGCAGGTCAACCTTCTTATGATCAGTTGCCTTGTTGGCACTCCAAATTTTATTCCGTACTGATCCCACCCACTTTTAACTGCAATACAATCATCTCCTGACACAATGTAACAATCTTCGATTCGAGTATTCGTGCACGAGTCTAGAAACAACAAGAAAAAAAGAAATTTTCAGAATAAGGTTCGTAGGAAAACTTTTAAAATGTAATTAAACATACAAACCTGGATCGATTCCATCTGTGTTGGGGGAGTCAACTGGTGCAAGAATAGTCAACCATTGGATCAGCACATTACTACAAAATTTCAAATACACAAATTTCAGTAGCAGAAAAAAGAAGAGCTTCTCATCCCCTCATAATTACACAGAAATGGTGAAACCTGGAATATGTGGGATGAACATTCCAAGAAGGAGAGTTGATTAATGTAAGATTGGATATTTGAATCTGATCAGAGTATAAAAACTCAATGAGATATGGCCTGGTAATCTTCAGTAGACCACTACGGAACTTGGTCCACCAAGTTGCACCTTGTCCATCGATTGTGCCATTATTACCTAATTAATGAGACAAATAATAATCATATATCAGTAAATTTCATTTAACTCCAAAAAATACAAGAAAAAAAGATTAATTACCTGTAATCACCACATCCGTGAGGTTTGTACCAAAAATGAAACTGCTAAACCTTCCACCAGGTCCATCTCTTCCTCTCCCATAAGAAGGCAATGGAGCGAGAACTGGCCATTCTGCTTCATCCTGTCCATATGGTATAAATAAAACGGCAACATCTCATAGGAAAAATAGAAAATTTATTATTATTTTTACCTGAGAAGCAAGAAGAATTGCATCCTTTTGGAGATAAAGAGTGAAATGACTAGTGACATTAAAAGCCCCAGTTAGCCATTTTCCTGGTGGTACAATTAGCTGCGCTCCTCCATCTGATGCATACTGGCTTAGATTAGCAATTGCTGAATGGAAAGCCTTTGTATTTGATGTTTTACCATCACCAACTCCTCCAAAATCTGTTAAAACTGCGGTGTGTTTCCGACAGGTTATTGCAGAGTATTGTATGGTGTTTGTGCATTCTCCAAGCCTTGTCAATGACAGAATAATAGAAAAGAAAATACCTAGAAGGTAATTGCTTGATTTAGGACACAAATCCATTGTTGCATTTTAACTTGAGAAATAGATAGAATTTATAGAGCTTGCTTTGGATGCATACGTAGAAAGGAAATCCCCAAAAATTTATTTTTATGGATTTACGTTAATGAATTTGCCAATGCCAACCAATTATGTATTAATTTTTTTTCTATATATTCAAAATTCATTAATATACTTTTTCTATAAAATTATGCATAAATTTTTTTTTTTTTTCTAGATATCACCGCTTACAATTTGCTCTTATAAGTTATAACGTATATTAACCGCTCAAATAGCATTACTAATATATTAATTAGTTGCAAATTTCAAATCCTTAGAAAATCAAATCTGTTAAATATTATGTTCCATTATATATTTCTACTAGTCTATAATTAATTTATAATATATAACATAAGTAAAAGTGGGGGAATATTGAGATTGTCAAAAATATTCCTACTAAATTTATGGATTGACGATAATATCTTGAAAGATTTTAATTTTATTAATTGAAAAAATAGAGATGATTTAACTTTGGTTATATTAATTTTTCATTTAAATTTAAATTTAATTTGACAAAATAAAAAATTATATTGTATAATATAAGGAATATATTAAAAATATTAAGAATATAATACATTTAAAGATTTTAATTTTATTAGTTGAAACAATAAATATGACTAATTTTGATTGGTTATATTAATTTTTTTATTTAAATCTAAATTTCATTTGACAAAATAAGAAATTATAATACTAAATAAGGTATACAAATTGACAAAAATATATTTAAGGAAATTTGATCTAATTGATTATATTATTTCCTATTTAAATATAAATTTTATTAGCTACAAATAAAATAAGAACTTATATTATATAGTATTAAATATGGTAAGAATATAATATAAGAATTCAATTGGGGAAGGAAAACATTAGGATTGACAAAAAAAGATATGATTTAATTTATTAACAACAAATTGCTATATATATTGATTGGATAAAGGATATATTAATATAATAATTGTTTATAAATCTTTAATTTGATTAATTATGTTGGTTTATTACTTAACTTAAAATTATATTACATAAAAAATTATTAAATATATTAAAAAATAAGCATTGAAAAACAAAATATTTTTTATAGTATATTCATAAAATTGACATGCAAACGACTAACAAATGCATTAATAACTAAGAGAAAATCAAACAATTTTTCAAAAAATAAAACAATACATCAAATAAAACATGAAAAAACATAAAATATAACAAGAAAAAATATATCTCTCATAAAAAATTCTCTCTTTAAACTAATTTATAGTTTTTATGATAGAACTTTAAATACAATAACTTTTGGTTCTTTTTATTAATTCTTTGGTATTTCTCTCTAATTATAGGTATTTGCTTCGCCTAAATTATATATTGTAAATATATTTGAAATTACTATAAATGGCAAATCATGGCAACAAGGATATACCATCTTTGCTTCTTTGTGCATAGTATGGTTTTATGCGGTGCTTGAAGCTAACTTTTCTCTCAAATATTACTCTTTTTGCATGATATACCATGTTTGTGCTTTTAATTGATTATTTCTTTTCAAATTTTATGTGCACATATATGATATATGTATCATGAAGTATTGTGATTAAATATATATGTAGCATCCATGGATTCTATTTATTGGGTAAATTGTCTCTCTTTAATTTTTAGTTTTTGTCGGTTTTGAAATAACGACTCTCGGTGTTCTCTAAACGTATATATGCATTTTTATCACTGAACTTAAAAATAGAAAATGTGTCTTCTTAAAACTAAAACATTATATGAATAACTCATCGTTAGTTAGAATAAGAATTTTCAATTTTACATGATACATCTTAATCATACTGTTTATGCATTGTTTGCACTTTAATTTTATAACAATTTATTCAAAACACATATTTTGCATCTCAAAAATAAATATATTACATGGCCGAGCAGAGTCCGGAAAACCATCCAGTTTATATAGATATGATAAACAAATGATTAAACACGATGTCTTAGGTTCAAATCCTACCAAGCGTGACTTAAAGCATTTAGTATAACTATTATGATTTTCGATTTATTTAAAATATCTCAGTATAAATTTAGCTATTAATAATAAATTTGTAAAAGTTATGCTTAAATATTGAATACCTGGATTTAGTTTGGTGTACAGACAGTCCTTTTGGTGCATAAAATTTTCCACCTACCAAAAAAATCCAATAGATAAAATTAAAAAAATCACCTATTTATTGTTATGACTAATTTTAGTAAACAAAATTTGCAAAGTTTACCAAGTTTGCTAGATTCTAAATTTACTACAACCATTTTATAGAATTAATAGTTAAAATTTCAAAAACAAGCTCTTAAATAATTTCACAACTATATTATATTGCATTATTTCAAATGACAATGTTGTAATTAAAATACATTACTTATCCAGTATCTCAGAATCCAATAAAATGACACAAATCAGAACCATTTATTTTTATTCCTTCTTTCCTATTAAGAACCGATAATAAACACAGAACCTACAAATTTAGCTAGTTGCTTAAGGCAAAGAGCATGTTCTAAGTTTAACATTATCAATTGGAAGAGTATCTTCAGGAAAAGGACAGTCGATCTTTTTCTCAGGCAACAAATCACATGCTTTAGGAGTCACATTGCTTGTAACTCCCTCAATGCCAGTGCATTTCCATTGCTGTTTCTTTGGTTTTTCTCTCAACGTAATCTCTGCATTAGAAATACAAATTCCAGTGAAAGGATCATTTTCTATCCCCTCGAGTCTTGCTGAATAAGTCACATTCTTAGCGACAATGTCTCCATAATTTATCTGAGTAACGTTAGGCAATGCTTTTGGATCGTATCCTTTGTCAGGATGTGAGCCGTAGGATCCAGTCATCCAGAAAACATACTTCATGGTCTGAAAATTCATGTTTCTCACAAAAATGTCTTTTACAAAGCCTCCTCTTCCAATTGCAGTTTTTATTCTGACACCAGACTCTGTGTTGATTGCTGTAATATCTTCAGCTCTAACGTCCTGGATTCCGCCTGACATTTCGCTGCCAAGAGCAATGGCAGCACTATCAGGGGAAATGCAGGTTAACTTTCTTATGATCAGTTGCTTTGTTGGCATTCCAAATTTGATTCCATACTGATCCCACCCACTTTTAACTGCAATACAATCATCTCCTGACACAATATAACAATCTTCGATTCGAGTATTCGTGCACGAGTCTAAAAACAACAAAAAAAAAAAAAAAAAATTGAATTTTTCAGAATAAGGTTAGTAAAAGAATTTATAAAACCTAACTAAACATACAAACAAACCTGGATTAATCCCATCTGTGTTAGGAGAGTCAACTGGTGCAAGAATAGTCAACCGTTGGATCAGCACATTACTACAAAATTTCAAATACACAAATTTCAGTAGCAGAAAAAAGCATTCCCGAAATTTGAAATTCCATACTGATCCCACCCCACTTTAACTTGGCAATACAAATCATCTCTGAACAATCAATATAACAAATCTTCGATTCCGAGTATTCGTGCACGAAGTCTAAAAAACAACAAAAAAAAAAAAAAAAAAAAATTTGAATTTTTCAAAAAAAAAAAAAAAAAATTGAATTTTTCAGAATAAGGTTAGTAAAAGAATTTATAAAACCTAACTAAACATACAAACAAACCTGGATTAATCCCATCTGTGTTAGGAGAGTCAACTGGTGCAAGAATAGTCAACCGTTGGATCAGCACATTACTACAAAATTTCAAATACACAAATTTCAGTAGCAGAAAAAAGAAGAGCTTCTCATCCCCTCATAATTACACAGAAATGGTGAAACCTGGAATATGTGGGATGAACATTCCAAGAAGGAGAGTTGATTAAAGTGATATGGGATATTTGAATCTGATTAGAGTATAAAAACTCAATGAGATATGGTCTGGTAATCTTCAGTTGACCCTTATGGAACTTCTTCCACCAAGTTGCTCCTTGTCCATCGATTGTGCCATTATTACCTAATTAACGAGACAAATATATAATAACCATACATATATAATATATATATATATATATATATACCAATATATAATAACCATACATATATATATATATATATATATATATATACCATTAAATTTTATTTAACTTTAAAAAATACAAGGAGAAGTCCAAATTAATTACCTGTAATCACCACATCGGTGAGGTGTGTACCAAAAATGAGACTGCTAAACCTTCCACCAGGTTTATCTCTTCCTCTCCCATAAGAAGGCAATGGAGCGAGAACGGGCCATTCTGCTTCATCCTGTCCATATGGTATAAATAAAACGACAACATATAGTAGGAACAAGAGAAAATTAAACTTTTTTACCTGAGAAGCAAGAAGAAGTGCATTCTTTTGGAGATAAAGAGTGAAATGACTAGTGACATTAAAAGCCCCAGTTAGCCATTTTCCTGGTGGTACAATTAGTTGTGCTCCTCCATCTGATGCATACTGGCTTAGATTAGCAATTGCTGAATGGAAAGCTTTTGTGTTTGATGTTTTTCCATCGCCGACTCCTCCAAAATCTGTCAAAAGTGCGCTGTGTTTTCGGCAGCTTATTGCGAGGTAATGGTTGTTTGATATTTTACCATGTCTACATTCTCCAAGACATGCCAACAGCAAAAAAATTGAAGAGAGACAAAGCAGATTATATTTTCCTAATTTAGTACACAAATCCATTGTTGCATTTGGAATGGACAAATGAAGAGAATATATAGAGCTTGCATTTAATGTGTGTTAAGAAAGTAAAATCTCCTGAGATTTATTGGATGGATTTAGGTATTTGCATTTTTCAGTGCCAATTGGCTATTTAAGCAAGACCACGGTTCTATCCAAATTAGAATCAAACCGATTAAAATGAAAATCAAACTGTATTCAATGATTCCCGATTTTAAATTAAAGCATAATTGAATCTGCGTCCACGGATTATTTTCAGTGTGAAATGTGAAATAAAAGAACACAAGAGAAAATCCCAACTTTTTTTAATAGCTTTTAAATAAATTTTAAAACTTTTTATTTCATATTACTACTACTACTTATAATTAATATTTATTGATGCTACAAAATTTTTAAAATATTATCGAAAGAAATTGAAAAAAAAAATTGTCTAATTTCACTTTCAAACTCAAATCGGGGGTTTCATAAACATCTTAATAAAAAATGGTTTGATTTTAATTTTACTCTTATTTGAAACCAAAATTAAAAATTCTGAAACTAAAATCGATGGTAACCGATATTCTAAAATGACGGTTATGTCTAATTATGCATGTAACAGAAGAATAAATGTATATATAAAAAATTAGATTTAGTTGTATAATTTTTTTCCATATGTTGAGTTTGTTATATAAGTTCATATCTACTTCCTTTTATGACATAATTGGTTATATATAGAAGTATCGGCTCAATATATAAATTCACCCCTTCATTTCAAAAAAGGCTCAATATATAAATTCACCCCGTTCATTTCAAAAAAAAAAAAAAAGTATATATATATAGTATATATATATATATTTCCTCAATTTATAACATTTATTGAATATTTCAAATTTTTATAAAATTAAGACTTATTAAATATTATATTTGACTTATTCAATTTTAATTTATTGAATATTTCAATTTATAAAATTAGACTTATTAAATATTATATTTGACTTATCAAACACCGTAATTTATAAAATTAAATTACTTAAACACTTATTGGATAGTTGAAAATGTAAAAATCGATTTTTAGAAATTTGTCGTGCTTTTAAAAGTGCTTATTTATATATATAAAAAAAAAAATTGCAACTCTAAAGATACATTGTGTCTTTTAAAAACTTTATGGTACCACATTGATAGAATCCTAAATTTTAGAAACAATTTTATAGACTCTCGTGTTGAGATTGACTTGTCTAGATTAGATTTATTAGCCTTTTTATAGATCAAGTCAATGAAAAATAAATATTTATTAAAATAAAAGTATTTTTAACTATATATTGAAGAAAAAAAAATAAAAGTGAAAACAATATTTAAAAAATCTCTACTATTGTTAGTTTGGTTTATGGACGGAGAGATTATATAGATGGAAGTCTAATCCCCTCAGATATTATTAGTCGCAATTTTCAAATCCTTCTAAAAACTACTTATTAAATAGACTAAAAAAATTGTACTCCAAGTAGTAGATGAAGACGATCATTGCACTATCATTCCTCGAGTTTCCTTCCTAGTATTAATTTTTCTGGTCTCCATCTTTTCTTTTTCTCTTTCCAATGAAATCCATGGTCAATATTATATGTTCTCTAGATGTGTGCTTGGGCCTTTGTTTTGTCGTTCGAACAAGTTCTTGTTCCGTTATAACTTATCAGTGTTAGTTACATGCTTGTCGTTTGAATGATTGCTACCGACTCGGTCGTATCAAGGATGCTAAATCCATCGTGTGGGTTCACTTTCGGCGAGACAAGGGGGTCCAACACTCTTCTTCGCCCAATCTGACCCGCAACCCGAACTGATTACACACCTGGGCCCAAAGGGTTGCCAATTGTCAACAGCAAATGGCTAAGATACATAAGTAACCAATCAGGAAAATCCAAGTGGCAGACATAAACGTCCCAAAAAGGCACTGATAGGCCTGTGCGATTATATTGAGAGCTACGTGGCACAACAAAGAAGCTAGTAATGTAAAGCTAAAATACTAAACGAGTCCAAAAAAAAAAAAACGACTTGATTCGTTGCCTCAACGGCCCAACCGCCTCACATTCCCCGTTGGATTCTGACATGTCCCACTCCCCTCCTCCACACATCACTCTCCCACTTTCCTATCTTTTACCCCTTCCTTCCCCTCAAAACTACGCATATACCATTGCCAACTTCCGTTTTGCTTCTTACGTTGCATTTTAAGTTTTTACCCGATTATTTATTATTTCATGATTCGACTTTCACAAATGTATACTATTCACATTTTTCACGTGGACTTTCCAACACTTACTCCCTTTTTATTTTTTTTAAGACAAAAACTACAGATATATATTAATGAGACAAATAATACTACGTCAAACAGGTGGAAACATAACTTCAATGGTGAAAACTAGCATAAGTATAAGAAGTTTTTGCAAGAAGATGAGTTCTTCTATTTACTTGTCTCCTAATCCAACCAGATATTAATATTTCTTTTGCTATGTAAAACAAACTTACAATACTCCATAATAAAATTCAAGTCAGAAACATCTTGTTGCGATAAATAAAAAACGTGAAAAACATTCTGAGACTCAATAAAAATGGACTCATGACTTAACATATTTTCCCCAATCCATTACAAACGAGACCGAAATGACAATGTTTCAGCTGTCATCGGGTCACCCAAACCATGGTATGAACATGAAATCGAAGTGATGAACTCTCCCTCTTGTGTCTCAAACAAAGCACCATAACCAAAATATGATAAATTCTAAAATAAAGTAGCAAGAAAAGCATACCAACCATCTTCATTAATCATTCCAAAAACTACCGGAGATTGATAAATAGAAAACCATGTATAGCAAGACGTAGAGAGATCTCTAGACCACACAACCATTCCTAAAAATAAAGACTCGCCGAAAGATATATCTTATTGGGTGGGAGCATGATATTATCACAAATAAATTTATTTATAGACTCCCATCATAACATCTCTTTCTTAATTTTATTAGATGTTTTATTTATTCTATTTTACTCGCTTTTCCATTTTAATTTTATCTTTTTTTCTGGTGTATATAGAAATACCCCATTTTAACAGTAATTTCCATTTTAATTAGTTTGGTCAATGAGTTAGGTTATAGATTTAGTCTAAGTAAATTTGTCTTTCTGGAATTCAAGGACAATTCAGTATAGCAAACAAGATTTTTCAATTAAAAGAAAAGATTATTTATTTCAAATCCTCTTACATCAAAAGAAAAAAGAAAGTGTTTCCTTAAAGGGAAGTATTGAAAGCATTTTTTAATTAGAGTAAAAGAAAAGTATTTTCGTTTTGGTAGGCAATATATATATATTCAACCTTACCTCTCTTCTGAAGTAAAAGATAAAATGGAATAAAAATTGAAAAAAATTGATAATTTTAACGTAATGGAAGGAGTACTAAGAATGGATGCATGATTAATTTTCTTAAAGCGTTTATCGAACTGTTAAGTTGGAATTTAACTGCAAAGCAATTCCGACTACAAAGACTAACTTCACATCGTCGGGACTCGGGAGTGGCAATTTTAGAATTTAAAAGAAAGATAATGGCAATTGTAATGTTGATCAGGTTGCTTTCCTAGTAAGAGTATATTTTATTCCTGAAACCCACAAAAAAAAAAGACGTGGTCTCCGTGCATTTAACCAAGGGTACAAGGACCAAAAACAGCCATCTCACAGCTTTCACAAATTCTAAACTTGGAGACCACCAGTTCACAATATACCTCTCTCTTCTCTTCTCTTCTTCTGGCTCTCCATAGTTGTATCTCCCTCGAACTCTCAAGACTAACCCACGTTCCCTCCATGGCGGCTGGACCATTCGCCGCTCCAGTCTTCAAGCCCTTCCGTTTTATCAATGCCTCCAATCTCCTTCGGCTCCCTAATAAGCCCATACCCGCCTCACTCTTCCCAATCCCTTCTTCAACTCTCGGTAATGGAAGGAAAACTAGATTCGCTATCTGTTTTGTTCTCGAAGAATCAAAACAGAGTATCCAGGTCGATAATCGCATAGCGGAAGAGCTCGAGGAAGTAAACTACCAGATCTTGACACCTCGTGTCACGGAGAGGCTTGCGAGGAAGAGATCAGAGAGGTTTACCTATTTGGTTGCTGCTGTGATGTCTAGTTTTGGGATTACTTCCATGGCTGTTATGGCTTGTTACTACAGATTTTATTGGCAAATGGAGGTACTTTCTAGTTTCTAATTGTAGAGTTTGCTCTTTTATCTAATTTTATAATTGTGTTTATACGTGTCTGCATTCTGAAATTGCACTCTTCTATGGCTTAGGGTGGAGATGTGCCTTTGGTCGAATTGTTTGGTACATTTTCTCTATCAGTTGGTGCTGCTGTAAGCTCCATTTTCTTCTTTCTTCTATGTTCAATTGGTTAATTCTTGTTAGAATGTTATCTTTTGGTGACAATTTAGGAGTTCAATTGAATTGGGTATTCTTTGTTTCAGGTGGGTATGGAGTTCTGGGCAAGATGGGCTCATAGAGCTCTCTGGCATGCTTCTTTGTGGCATATGCACGAGGTATGATATGCTCCTTCTGGTTTCCATGGAAATGCAAGAAATGGAAGTAGCAAGTTGATTTTAATAACTCATACGATTACTGAACTTTGTTGTTGTTTTTTTTTTTTTTTTTAATTACAGTCTCACCATCGACCCAGAGAAGGTCCGTTTGAGCTAAATGATGTGTTTGCAATTATTAATGCAATTCCAGCTATTGGCCTTCTCTCCTATGGCTTCTTCAACAAAGGCCTGTTCCCCGGCCTTTGTTTCGGTGCTGTAAGTCTTTATCTCTGGGACTCGGTTCATGATTTTGTTCCTTGATTAACGGTTTAATTAATCATTATAATAAAAATTATTGTTAACGACTTATTGTTTCTAAATGACTAAAATACCACCGAGAAATCCCATATTGATCCTTTGACTTGGAGCAGGGTCTTGGAATTACAGTGTTTGGGATGGCCTACATGTTTGTCCACGACGGTCTTGTTCACAAGAGATTCCCAGTGGGTCCGATTGCCAACGTGCCCTATTTCAGAAAGGTCGCTGCTGCCCACCAGGTTAATTAATTACCAAACTATTATTTCTATTGTTTAATGTTTTCTACAATCTAATTTGCACTTGCAGAAAACATAATCTAACCTTGGAGATTTGATTTGATTGTTTTTTCTTTTTTTAAATATTTGGTTTATAGCTCCATCACTCGGATAAATTTAATGGTGTTCCATATGGGTTGTTCCTGGGACCTAAGGTAGGCGCCTAATTATCCCTTTTTTTTTATTATTATTATTTAAATATGAGTTATTAATTTTTTTTTTTTTTGGTAATGTGTGGTCCAGGAACTTGAAGAAGTTGGAGGGCTTGAAGAATTGGAGAAGGCGATAGATAGGAGAATAAAATCGTATAATGGCTAAAGATATTTTGAATGTAGAAAAAAAAAAAAATAGTGATCCAATGAAAAGAGTGTTTTTGTGTGTTGATTGTAAATGTAGAGCCTAAAATTCCAATTTGGTGATGGTTGGGGTTGTCAATTTTTCATTTTATGTGGCAACGTTTCCAATTTTTCACTGTGTTTTGGCCCTCAAATCATAAAGTAGTACCTTTTTTGACACAAACTTGTAAATGTGTACGTGTGGTTGTACAAATATTATAAATTCAATGTACGCAATAATAGAAAAAAAAAATGGGAAAATAGGTTTTTCGTTACTATTTTTACCTAGCTAATCTTTCTATTAGTTTTACTTTCTCATAGAGGAAAATGAATTAGGAATTGTAAATTTGAACTTTTACACTTTGTTTGAAAAAACAAAAAAAAAAAATTCGGGGAAGAAAGTTAGGGGGTATAACTCTCTCTTCCCTAGTTTAGATGGAACAAGGGAAGAGAAAGTCAGGATAAACTTAAGTAATACTATTTTTTTTTTTTTATTAAAGTGAAATTATTAATATAGCCCTTATGCTCTTTCCTCTATTCCCAAACAAGATTTCAATTTCTAATTTAGCAAGAAAAAAAGTTTTTCTAATCACAATTTCTTGGGATGGAAGGAGGGGATTTGGGGACCTCTTGCTTGACCTCTCTATCTCCAAAATTTTTTAATTTTATCCCTGTAAAATATTGAAATCTCTTTTCATTTGAATTAGGCTACTTAATTTTTGGAAACCTTTTCTTCATAACTCTTCTTTTATTTATCAAATCAATAAAAGCTCTTATGGATTTCGAACTTAACACCTCCTATGCTCTACACAAATGAGAAAACCAGCTATTTTTATTAGGGAAATTTATTATTTAGTCTCTCAGGTTTTATATAATTAACCAATTAATCTCAAGTTTTGCACAAATATCTAACTAGTCCCTCAGGTTTAACTCCGTCTAATTAAAAGGTCCTTCCGTCTGAAAAGTTGGTTTTTTTAATCCTCAAGTTTGCACAAATATCTAACTAATCCCTCAGGGTTTGAACTCCGTCTAATTAAAGCCTTTCTCCCGTCTGAAAAAGTTGGTTTTTTTTAATTGAAGACTAAAAGACTAAAACACCCGTGCCTAACAATCCTTTTGTCAAAGAACTGTTCTAACCCAAACACAATAAGCAACTGAAAAAAAAAAAAATCAAAACTGAAAAAAAAAAAAAATCAAAGAATCAAACGATAAGTTGCTGGAAATTCATAAGGCTCAACTCTTCTCAAGTCTGAGCAAGGACCTTATCCTCGAAGCTCAGCGATGGCGTCGTTAATAGCGAGAGCTCCACCGATGATTCCTCAATCACTGAACTCACCTTCTCGCTTATCGTCGTCTCAATCCGAAAACCTAGGCATTTCTCTTTCCTATTCAACACCAACTCCTTCCCTTTCTCTCTCTACCACTTCCTCTTCTCCAGTCCCATTTGGTAAACTAGCTGTCTCTCTCTCTTTAAATTCATGTTATAATCATGCTATTTTCAGTTTTACTTCATGTTCTGATGCTTTGGTTACAGTGTATTGCGGAAGAGGAGACAGGAAGACCGCGAAGGGGAAGCGATTCAACCATTCAACCATTCGATACCAGTTCCTTCTGTTATGATTAGCATTTCTGCAGTTTTGTTGAGGTTTCAATTGAGTGATTTTATCCGCTATAAAATCAATTGAGTGATTTTATCCGCTATAAAAGCAAGGACTAACTAATCTGTTTGTTTCTAATTATTTTTAGTATATTGCAAGTCTCACAAATGCGTTGGCTTACTGTCATGAGAAAGATGTGATTCACAGAGATATCAAGCCAGAAAATTTATTGCTTGATCATGAGGTATACTTTGGTTATATAGTGATTTGAAAGATTCTGATCCGTAGGCATTAACCTAGCTTTCTTCAAGTTGTTCTTTTGCCTTGTATCTACAAATTAAAATTGACAAACTGACAAATCATTAGCCAAATTGATATTGTACTTGCCTTTCTTGGGTTTGCCAATTTTTCAGACTAATTAGATAGAAATTAATGAGCTGCTAAATCAAAATTTTTGTAGGGCCGACTGAAGATTGCTGATTTTGAGTCGTCTGTGCAATCTAGGAGCAAGAGGCACACAAGAGACAGAATAAGGGCATTCTTCGTCATTATAAAATGTTTGCCTTTGTTTTGTACTGATTTTAACGGAAAAAAATCAATTTTTTGAAACGGAAGGACCTTTTAATTAGACGGAGTTAAACCTGAGGGACTAGTTAGATATTTGTGCAAAACTTGAGATTAGTTGGTTAATTATGTAAAATCTGAGGGACTAAATAATAAATTTCATATTTGTGCAAAACTTGAGATTAGTTGGTTAATTATGTAAAATCTGAGGGACTAAATAATAAATTTCCCTTTTTATTATTTATAATATTTGAGAAAGTAGCCTTTATATTTTTAATAGTTAGTAAAATAGTTGATAGCTGATATAATACTCCATTTGTCCTAAAATATAAGTCGTTCTTGGGTGATTAGTTTGTTAAAAAATATAAGTCGTTTCAAGTATTTTAAGGAGTAACAATCTTTATTTACATTAAATATAATAAATATTTTCTTGAGTAACTATAAAGGATAATTTGATCAAAGTACTATTAATTTTGTTATAATTTAAGAGAATTAATAATTACTAAAATAGTTGGTATTGTCCAATAAAGTCAACACTTTTTTATGATTTTAATTTCTAAAAAGAACTTATCTATATCGGTTGTCGCTCGTACATTAAATTAACAAAGATAAGTTTTTTAAAATAATATTTTTTTAGTTAATTTAGTGTATGAAACCAAGTGGAAGCAAGCATTATCCTTAATTTGTAATGTGATTTAAATATATAGCAAAACACACGTGGAATCTGAATGCTACTAGCAATGAATTATCCACGAGCATATATTTAGAAAAGGTATTAGGTTTGGCGGTATATAAAATTGTCTCTAATAGCTAGATAGATAGCATACGCAAAGAGCAACCTACCTAACTTTGCACTTGATTGTGAGTTGTGACTGAGGAGATGTCCCATTAGCAATATGTCAAAACGTAGCATGCACCAAGCCAAGAATAGGAAGGGTCCGCCAACGTGAGGAAAGCTCAATAATTTTGCACCTTTTCGAATTAAATTCTTTCGTAGAACATAACAAGGTCAAAATAACGTATGCCATTGCCATCCACTTCTCCTCCAGGTTTTATGTTTATGCATTGCACAATTTTATAATATCAATTTTCATTAATTAAAATTATATTTTTATTATTATTTTAATATTTAATAGAATTATTGAATAGGGTATATTTATATTAACTGTAATCGTGAGACAGATTTTGGTAAACCCTAAACCCTATGTACATGCATATGGTCGCTGGTCACGACACAATTATATGGGATTTGAAAATGCAAAAAGGACGGTGGTGGCAATTCGCAGCAAATGGAAAAGGCAATTGACAGGTATCCAAAAAGAGAGTGCAAAGTTATTTGGAGGTGACACGGCCACACTTTAGGCTGTTTCCTCCATCTTTTCTTATATTTCAATTATTTGGTCATAGGCTACGTGTTAAACTCTGGAACTTCAAACCAATAGAAACTTTAATCTAAATGGCTCATGCACTTCACTTTTAGAACGAATGGATAACATTAATCTGTGCAAGGAAAAAAAAAAGGGGTCAAAAGTAAAAGTGTTATTTTATAGATAGGATAAATTGGTTGATCAGCTATCAAATTTTGATTGGTTGAGGCATTTATATTTTTGTTTTGATTTTGACCCACACCTAAAAAGCCAACGCACTCTAATGGTGACATGTGCCTCCAATATCATCTCACTCTCACAGAGTATTTAGGAGTTGAAATTTCAAAACGCGTACGGTGCGTGTTGGTCTTTGCATTTGCTTTTGCCTGTTTTGGTTGGTTCAATGCCAAAAATACCAACCATTCACGGTAGATTTCTCATTATTGGGGCTTTTTCAATATAATTTTTACGTTAAGAGATAGTTGTATCAATGAAAACGAATTGGATTTGAAATTTGGAATTACCCACTTTTTAATTACACTAAATTATTTTTCATTGAACCTTATTGATTTTTCATATTATTATGGTTATTATAATCGGATCGAGGCAGACAAAATAATTCATTTTCATGATGAAATTTCTTAAAAAGGGTAATTGAGTAATCAATGAATTACTATATTGTTACAATGTTTTTTTTTTTTTTTTTTTCGAAAATAATTTTTTTTTTTTTTTTTTCGAAAATAAGTGGAGCTTGGGGCCAACTTGGTAGGTCGGTCTGCTGGACATGGCACGCACCGTTTCACAAGTCAAACTCGGGTTCGAATCAGAGAGGCCATATTGGGCCAAAGGCCCCAAAATAAGTTACAATGAAAGGCCTGGGCTGCCAATAGTTTAGATGATCAAAAACCAGTTTCTTAAGAATAGATATAGGATTTTTGGGTTAAAGTTCAAAGTGTTGTTTTGCTTCTTTTAGATGGAGGACAGGTCCGCTCCTTTGTTCTAATAAAGCTTACTTAAAGATAGCCATTGCTATAATCATGCACAACAAGTCCCTTTGATTGCCAAAATAATGAGCTGATTTATAACTAAACGTACTCATATAATAGTCCGTTCCGTTCGGAACTACTTGAAACTTTCTAAGATTCTAAAGCTTCTCACTATTTTTTTTTTTTTTTTTTTTTTTTTTTTTTTTTTTGGTTTCATTCTAAATTTTCTTGTCTCACAGGAATAACTTTATCCAACTTAAATTTCTAGCAAGTACACAGCAAGAACAAGTATTTGATTTTTTTTTTTTTTTTTTTTTGGTTCATTTCTTAAATTTTCTTGTCTCACAGGAATAACTTTATCCAACTTAATTTCTAGCAAGTACCACAGCAAGAACAAGTATTTGATTGGTCGAGTATGAGTCGCAGCCAGATTATCGGCACCAACTCCTTCAGTTCAGCTGCATCATTTTATGTTACTCATCATCCTGTTCAAAATCTCGCAATTTAAGCCCAATTATGATTAACCATTGCATTGAAACAATTATTTCCTTCAACATTGAACTTATAAATTTCAATGTTCATAAAGCTTCAGCAACTGGTTTATTGTTTCTTTAAACATAGTGGGTTAGAAGCCTAGTATTCATGTTTTCATGGAGGATGGGCAAAAAGTTATACCCTAAACTAGAGAAAACAAGAGCTCAGAATAAGCAGAACATGATTGCTTGGCATTTTCCACAGGCATTTCGAAGCACAAAATGCATTTCTTGTATTGAACTATGCTTTATAATCTCTTAGTTGGAGAAGGGTGCATCAAAAAAATTTTGAATTGACAATAATAAACTCAACCAACTGTCAAATCTCAGTTAACTAATTAGAATCCGCAAAAACAGGAAATAAAAAGCAGGAGGAGTTAAACATTGAACATACAAAACAGATATGCTGTTATGAGATATCATTATGCACTAAAGTCTGCATTTAACAAAGAAAGCAGCCAACCTCTTTTTTTCCCAACAAACCGCATTGAACAACAAAGGCATGCAATTTAGCACCCCAGAAAAACTAATGCTAAAAACGTTTCTACAGAAATTAAAATTCAAAATCATTGGAAAAGAATCAAAACATAAACATCACTAACCCCACTGTACATAGCTTCCCACTTTCAGTTCCTTGACCACTAGCAATTTGCAAAACTTAACAATGTCTATCCTCCGAAGAAGGAGAAAAACCCCCGTTTCTTGGGTTCTTCCTCCACCATAACAGCCTTCATAGTATCCTGTTCAACAAGTCTCCAAGCAGCCTGCTCGAAAGCCAACCCAGCCAATGTAGGGGGCTTATTCAACACAAGTGGGTACCCTCTATTAGTGCTTCTGATAACCTCCGAATCCTCTGGAATAACTCCCAGCAACGCCAATCCCAACATTTCCTGCACGTCCAGCACTGACATCATGTCCTCGCCTTTGATCATATCCGTCCTAACTCTATTCACAATCATCTTTATATCCCTAATCCCATCGCACTCCAAAAGCCCCGTCACTCTATCGGCGTCTCGCAGACTCGTGATATCTGGTGTTGTGACGAGCACTGCCTCATTAGCTGGACTGATGGCCGTAATGAATCCTGCATCAATTCCAGCCGGACAATCAATAATTATAAAATCGGGACTGCCTTCGGGTCTGGTTTTCAGTGCCTCCACAAGCCAAACCAATGCTTTCCCACCAAATCCCAATGGAAGCTTCGAACGAGGTTTTGAGATGCATAGAAGCTCGAAATTCGACCACCTTTTATCACGCACAAGGGCTTGGTCCAAGCGACAATCGCCATTCATAACCTCAACGAGTGTATAATTAACGCGATTTTCAAGACCGAGGAGAAGGTCGAGGTTTCGGAGACCAACGTCAGCGTCTATCGCAACCACAGAGAAGCCGAGACGAGCCAGTGAGAGGCCGACATTAGCAGTGGTGGTTGTCTTTCCGACGCCACCTTTGCCGGACGTGATTACGACGACACGTGGGGTCTCTCCAGCTAATTCAGGCTTTCTGTTCCATTGCAGGACGGATTGTATGGCGGAACGGGAGTGGGATTTTGAGGGTTTTAGGGTTTGGGTTTTGGAAATGAAGGGTTTAAATGTGGCCAAGGAATGGGAAATAGAGGGATTATGACTGCTAGGGAATGGTTTCAGAGATAGCATTGTACGAGATAAAGAGAGCTTCAGATGCAAATGAAGAAGAAGATCATCTGCTGGATCTGAGCGTCAAAAGACACAGCAAGAACTAACAAGTCGCCAAATGACAGGGCGAGACTAAGTAAGAACCCAACGGTGCGATTTTGGAGAATTGTTAAATCAAGAAATTTTACTCGACAACATGACACGACAGGTTTTTCAGTGAAATTAATTGGGCTTTTTTTTTCTAAGATTGGGTGTCCTGGGCTTCAAAATATTTGAGCCTGTTGCCCTTTAAGCCCAAAAAGACTTTGTACAGTCTCTGGGCTTGCGTGATAAAGTTAAGAATAAATTATGAATTGACTGGGTTGATAGCGAGATCCCGTTTGCCTAGCCAATTTGATTTCTTCTTCTAATTGTAGATTGCTGATTTCAGATCTGGAATCTTGACCCTTCAACTAATTGCTCCCCAAAGAAGAAACCTAATCCGACGGGTGGCTTTACCTTCTCTTTATTATTCTTTTTAAATGGGCCCCACTTCCTTATCTGATGATCAATCAAAAAGCTGCCAAGTGGCATGACACTATCAGTGATACCATACATGGAAACTTCTGATATTCCATATTTACCCTCCTGTAGCGTTTATATCGGTATCCGCCAAACTGTCATTCGACACGTGTTATCACCTTACTCGCTATTGGCATTTTTGCCCCGCCCCGTCCCTTACCCTCTTCTTCATCCGTCTCATGTGATATTAGCTCCCCCTTTTTCTTTCTCTCTCCGTTTCTCACTTTCTCTAGATCCAAACACCCTGTACAGTCTGTATTATAACCTCCATCTCGCCTCTCAGTCTATGTGTGCTTTTCGACGTATGAGGAGAAAGCTAAGCTTGAGAAAGTTTTAATCTCTCTAGCACTGAAACAAGGTTCGATCTGTTCATTTTTGGTTTTCTTTTTTAAATGATTATTTTGGTGGATTACTGGCTGACTTTAATTCTATGTGTATGGTTTCTCATGATAGAATATAATCTGTGTGTTTTAGAGTAATGAGTATATGGATCTGAATCTGATGTTCATATGTATCTTTATATGGCTACAGTTTATTGTTTCCACGTTTTCTGTGCTAATGAGGTTAGATTGATTTGATTCAATTGAAATTGTTAGAACAAGTACTGGTGAATTCGATCTGATTGCCCAATTTTTTGCGGCCTCATCCTTGTTTTATATTCGGAGAAAACTGAGGAGAGTGAAATTTGATCGTGATTTTAACATTTTCTAAGCATTTATATATTCTGCTGATTTGGGTAGGTAGAGCTTAACTGTTCAGGATCTGAAATCTGATAAAAAATGTTATAATATTCTATTACGGAATCAGTCATGTAGAAAGGGTAACTTCCAGTGTGAGACCCATTGTACGTTTCACTTATCCAAGATGCTGTTTAATGCTTGCAAAGTGAATTTGCGAGATTGAGGACTATCCAACTTGCTTTCTATATGATGTTATTATTATGTTGTATGATTAGTACTGAGGTCTATGCCCCCCAGGGCATCTGATGCTTTGCTGTGATTTGGCATTAGTAAATAGCTTAATACTTCTGTCCTGATTTTGTAATTCATAGTTTCAACTTTTAATCTCCAGTTGTCCAGCCTCAAAGCTCTTCACTTAAATTGCTTTGGGCAAGATTGTGTGTGAGCTATGAACCTTATGTTTTGGTCTATACTTAATGAATTTCTACTTGGATCTGTACATATAAAATATGTTTTATCTAGTGATTATGGTATATTGTGGTTAGCTCTATTAAGAATTTACAATTTGTTTTAGATCTCTCTTTTGTGGTTGACCCCTTGTCTACAGCTGTGGCTGAATTAAGATTTTTAGTTAGTCAAATAGATACCTTGTGCTGTTGTACTACCTTTCTGTGTGCATTTCATGCCTGTTTTACCTCTTTGTTGTTGGTTTGAATTTATTTATTTTTTTAATTTGACTTGTAGATTTTCTTTTTGGCTGCAGTAAGGAATGCCACGTGTGCCATTTGAACCGGCGTGATTATTGCTCTTTTAGTTCTGATCAGCTCTGTGGTTCTATTGGTGTTCATAAAATGGGCAAATGCAAGGGTTGTGGGAAACTAGGAAGAATGGTGCCAAGGGATGAGTCTGTGAACGCTTACCATTTTTCTCTTTTGTTGTCTCCTGTTGTTTCTGTTTGGGATTGTGTTGTCCGGAAGATGAGGTATTCCTACAGACCTGAGTGGGTGTAGTTGTGAGATTTCTGATATTTTATAAGTTTACTATACTGAAACTAGGTATTAATTATTTAGTATTGAACAAAGGAAAAAGAAGATAGAGAAGGAAACAAAATTATAGTGAAATGTACACGTTTTAGAGGATTTCTCTTTAAGGTAAAATAGTAGAGCAAACAGGATAATATTTATAGGTTGATAGTTTTCATGGATAGCATAGCGTGTAATAAAGTGCAACCTGTTATGAGAAAAGTGAAGAAGAAGCAGGTCAAAGGTGAGCTGGATCGTCTCAAACAGGCAGAGAAGAAGAAGAGGCGCTTGGAGAAAGCTCTTGCTACTTCTGCAGCCATCATATCTGAATTAGAGAAGAAGAAACAGGAAAAAAAGGAAGAACAGCAGAGGCTTGATGAAGAGGGTGCTGCAATTGCAGAGGCTGTTGCTCTGCATGTGTTACTTGGTGAGGACTCTGATGATCCACGTAAAATTGTGCTAAACAAAGAAGATGGTTTCGGCCCTTGGGATTGTGCTAGCAGGATCAATCTCTTTATGGATGAACAAAGGGCATGCCTTCCGCATCAGGACCAGTTAAGGCATTCATATGAAAGAATTGGCTGGATCTCCAATGCATGTGGAACTGGGTGCGAGTGGAGTGATGTGGAAAACAACTGGTCAGTCTCATATGGGTCTTTAGGAAGTGATTTGCATGCGCCATACTTCGAGGATGGAGGTTGGAGGACCACAGAATTTTCTGCTGGTCTTATTGCAGCACAGGCTGTTTCATCACTCCAGATTGATGAGGATGATCACGTCGACACAATCGTCTTGAATGGAATGCTAGGATGATAGATAGAAAGCACTCTGCTGCCTCTCAAATTGAGTCGTGATCTTTAGTTCAAAGTAATGATTTTGTATATATTCCTTGAGGCTTTATCTTTGTCTATCAGATCTGAATGTGGCTGCTTCTATGTTGAACAGATGTTGCGCATAGCGTGCACTGTGTTGTCACTCATTACTTCTAAAAGTGTGCACTGTGTTGTCACTCATTACTTCTAAAAGTGTGCACTGTGTTGTCACTCATTACTTCTAAATTACTTCTAAAAGTGTGCACTGTGTTGTCACTCATTACTTCTAAAAGTGTGCACTGTGTTGTCACTCATTACTTCTAAAAGTGTGCACTGTGTTGTCACTCATTACTTCTAAAAGTGTGCACTGTGTTGTCACTCATTACTTCTAAAAGTGTGCACTGTGTTGTCACTCATTACTTCTAAAAGTGTGCACTGTGTTGTCACTCATTACTTCTAAAAGCTTGTTTTCGTACTTAAATGTTCTTCATGACTTGAAAAGCTATTCAGCTGATATTTCATTGTTTCCTTGCGGAATGATTCTCTTATTTACTTTTACGGGAAAGGCCAAAATGGCATAATTGCTAAATTTCAGTCCAAACAAATCGTATGTGAGTTGGAAAAAACTTCTTTCATTGCTATCTTTGGGAAAAAAGTCGTGTTCAATAAATTGTTAGGTATTTGAATTATAATGAATTTATACGACATACTAAAATTGACCAATGCTTGCTTCTTGCATTGAACGTGAAGAGCATTGAGCTGATTTCTCTGCAGAGTGCAGACAAGAGCTCTTCAATGATGTTAAGTTTTACCAGTGGAAGAATGGTTGTTATTAATGCTATTTTTTGCTTTGACATTGGCAGATAGCATGAAATGGAGAGCGCTGAATACAGCTCGGCGATGTCCAAACTTGCAAATAAAGTCCATCCTCCAAATGTCCTTATAGCCATAACGTCAATTTGCAGCTTCAATTGTCAATGCCCTGCCTCTATGGATCCGCTTCGCTTTTGACTTGCAGTATTTTTTATATCATTGGCATCGGGCAGGCAACAGCCAGCTTGGCAATTGGCATCTATTCTTGACAGCCAACCGGAACTGTAACTTGTAGGGATGCAACAAATGATGAAGTTTGCAAATAAAAACATGTTTAAACTGAATGTCACAAACCAGAATATTCTAATTCTACATCTCGATGATCTATGAAATCTTAAAATCCTACATTCTCCAGAAAAACGAATATTTTCTGGAGGCAGCGAGGCATGCATGTGCTACAAAGATACAGAATCACCCATAGGGTTGCATGAAAGCTTTGAAGCTCTCAAAATTGACCATGACGTGCAAGGAAAAAATTAACACTTCAGATTCACTGCCCTTTCAATGTACTTATCATCCTCTAAGCACCATCACCAAATATTCAGTCGGAAAAGGCAAAAACAAACTTTACAGTGATACACAACGAATGACTGTAATTGTCTATTGCATGTTTCGACAGGTACAACTAGCAACACTGCTTTCACAAAAGGCTTTCTTCATACATCATGCCGTAAATTCTGCTGCGATGAGAGTTCAGGTTCCCGTTGTAGAAAATTCTGCCTTGATGGTAAATCTGATTGGTCATGTTGCTGCCGAAGCAGCACATCTTCATCCTGATGATCTACGTCTGTACTACTAGATGGTTTGGCACCAGAAGTAATAAGGTTTTTAAACCAAGCTGCTTGGAATCTAGGGGTCCCTCTGTTTGAATTGCCAGGTGAATCAGGACCAGACCCATTATTCGAAGCAACACCTATAAGGAAACGGTATGCCACTTTGCTAGCTGATACAATCTCTGCCTTGGCTTGTCTTAACTGCAAATATGCACACGCGCCAAGAAAAAGTTTAATCACACTGAACAATGTCAAAAGCCAAGTAAGGATTTATCGGCATATTACAGTCTGACTAAGAATCCACATTTCAGGCTAATTGGAAACCAAGGAAGGAATGCATGCACATAAGAAAATGAAAGCATTAAGCATGAGCGGTTGACAAAATCTAAGGAATAGTGAAATAGTAGTTAACCTAAAACCACCATACACAAACTCAAGCAGAGAGCAAAACGTTTGAGCTACAACTTATAGTGCATGTATGATTAAAACCAAAATAACAGTTTTATACTTCTTTCCAAGGAAAAATGATAAATAATTAAAAAGAAAAGTTAAAAGGAAACACATCAAGATGTTTGCTAAAAAAATCAAGTATTATTTAAAGTGCATTGAACAGAAGACAAATTGCAGTAACAAAAGTCACCACTTAAAAATGAATCATTTGGTTATTTAAAAAGCAAATATGTTTCAAGAGGTTCAGGGAGCTCATATGTGAAAAGGAATCATTTGGTTATTTCTTGTTACAACAAACAAGGAGTATAGCAAGATAATCCTGGCCAAATACAAGAAGAAATTGCACATCTCACCCGTAAAGCTGTATTTCCCGCTACTTCCAAGGCTGTGTCACCAGCATTGGCAAAACGATTAACCCAACCTGTTATAGAAACCATAAGAACATGCACCAGTTGAAACAAGGTTCTTTTAACACCACAGGTTAATTATTAAATCATAAAAGAATGAGTAACAGAGTACAAAATCAAACAAAAGACGCAGACAATCAAAATTTACTTCTAGTGTTTTGGTAAAGCAGGTAATTTAACAACTGCAGAAGTAGGCAAATCATAAAGAAGCCTTGAGCAGCTCCATGAGCTACCAGTAATAGAGCTAACCAGAACCTAACCTGGGCAAAGTTGCAATGGAAATGAACAATCACTTACCCCCGAGTTTAGCAAGACATTAGATAAGCTAAACTTAATGAAAAATAATGCTTACCTGGAAGTTTTGGCACACCAAGCCTTTCACAAAACTCATCACAGAAGTGATTGCAGTTCTTGGCTAGCAAGTCATATGCACTTCCAGGCCATTCTCTGCTCAGTTCCCTCAGTATCTGGTTCACTTTATAGATAGGAAAGTTTGTTCTTCCAAGCACAATGCTCTCACGATATGTATACATTGGGTTCTTTCCAGAAGGGCAACTAAAAACTCCAGTTCCATGTTCACAAAACCCAAAAGACCATTCATCCTCTCCATAAACCTGTCATATATATGTCAAACAAATTTATTGCAGCGATATGCATTACCGTTCAGCATCATTTGATAATATAAAAACATTGGAATAACGAATAGAAACATAAGGAGAAAAAATAACATGAATGGCCAATGGGAAATTAGAAGTGCATAATGTAGTGAAGAAATAAGGGGCCTCTGCACAACATGTGATGTTAAGGCATGCAACCCAAAAAGTGTGAGAAACAATTCGAAGCAACATTTTATAGAGTCAGGTGAGGATTTGGACTCATCAAGGAACATCATCTGTCAAGAAAATCTATTTACTTTCGTCAAAATTTAGTTGCATACTCTTTTGAATCCATATTTCAATACTAAAGTATTCCTTTAACTTTTATCCCCAACTAAAATCAAGAGGTGAAGTGACCTCAAAGACATTGCAGGGTACAGTATGAATGAAATTTCTTCACATTTGCACATGACTTGGTAGCCTTCCATCTTGACAAAACCAGGCCTTTCCACTGATTAAATCAAATTCTGAACAACTTTGAAAGAACCCTATTACAAACAGTATGCCACATGAATTCTTTGGCGGCATTCAGCTATAAAATAAATGCATAAAATGAACAATCAAACAAGAAAAACCAGAATCATATAGGAGACAAATATGTTCCTTCCCTATCAACATCATCTCTAATGTGCCATGTCAGTAAAGAAGATGATCATATCCTCAAACCAAACTCAGACTCAAAGTTCCATATCATATTAAAATACCAGCAGGTCTGAACTTCACTGTTCATGAAAATTATTAATCGGCAGAACAAAAGAAATGGATTTGCACTCAATGGTTTTAGATTGAAACCACAAACTTATTAGGTTAAAGGAAAAGGAATTCACTAAAACTAGATCATAATGGAAGTTACAAGAGACAGTAATTAAGAATACAGTTATGATATTGATGCCACCATGTAAAATTCACACACATCTTCTTCAAAATGCTAATTCTATGATAGCATCTTTGAGTAGAATGAAATTGCCAACTTTGAAGAAATATAGGAGATAACTGAACTAGAAAAAGTAAAAAATAAAATAGAGATGTACAAGATGAGGGAAAAACAAGAGGAGGTAATGAAAAAGGCTTGGTGTTACTGCTACAAAGCCTACAATAATAAACCATCTATGTAGTGAAAGGGGAAGAGATTCTGTCTAGTGTTAAGAATTTATCAACCTTATATGCATAAAAATTCAAGACAGAAAATAGCAAGCATAAAGCAAGAAGCCAAATAGCACACAGCTAATTCCATGGCAGCAAGTTTTCTTACGCAAAACAAACGCCTAGTTCTTGAATGACACCTGACGCAAAGTTTTTGAAGGTCCATAAGACTCTTGAAAGAACTCAAAAGTTCTGTTAAACTAGAAACCTAGTACACATTTTAGCTCTCACTAAACTTCCACGAATGAGTCCTAGGTACTGTTCTCTTAACTGAATGAGGATTCCACATGCGAATTTATTAAGTCTTGATCTTAAGTACAGAAACCAAAGACTTAGATCTCACCTGCAGTGGCAGAATATTCCACAACTGATACAATCGAATCAACATAGAACACAAGCAAAGTTCCTATAAAAAAACTCATTTTCCATGCATACCAGTTGATAACCAGATAAAAACCCTAGATCCCATTCCCAGCACATTGCAAAGCAACACCAATAAATGTATAAATACATAAGTATACAACCAAATATATATATAAATGCAGAGAAAGAGAAGAGGAAGGACCTGAACAGCGCTGTGGAAGATGCCGCCAAGGCCAATACCGTCCTTGAAGATCTTGTTGATATGCATAATGGTGTTGTTGGTCTTCTCCGATCCACTATTTGTCACGTCATATATATGCAATATCACATCCGTCATCTTTATCAATAAAACCCTAAACCTAACCCTAACTTCAAACTTTCTATTCTCTTCTCTTTGTAATATATGATTCCAAACAAACTTCTTCACTCTCTTTCTTTTTCCTCTAAAGTCTCTTCCGTTTCAAATTCCTTTTATTTCTCCTCTCTCTCTCTGTGGTCACTTGTAGCCACAGAGAATTTTCACTTTCCGTGCTCGCTGTTACTGGAATTTAATTTGAAAGTAACACGCTAATTTTCCAGGAAAATGTTCAGGGTTCTTAGATCTTCCCTCTTTTGGGTTTTGTTTTCTCGAGTTTGAGAGTTTTGCAGTAATAAACCATTTGCATAATATTTGTATGATATAATTAAAATTTCGTTATATATGAATTGGGATATTTTTTTGGAGGAAAAAGACGAAATATAAATTTGCCCCTGGAGATCGCAGGAAATTACGAATGTTGCGGTTATTGTTTTTACAACTGTCTGCCACTTTAGTGTCTTCGACCATGATTAGGCTGAGTTGGATAAGGGGGTCCCAGTCACGCGCGCAATTATTATGGACTACGAGACACCGACCGACAGATATGTATTTACTAGTATGCCCTCGCTTTTTATTTGAAGTTTTAACCGCTAAATTAACAATCCAAAACCAAAAGGAGCATCCCGCCTTACTCAAAGAAAGGGACAGAAAGTGGAACCGATTTAAAATATACTATTGAAAATAATTCAAACTGTTTTCTTTTTTTCTGTTTTTCAAACTGTTTTGAAATATGGTCAAAATTGAAAAAATTTTATCTATAATTTATTTTAATCTAATATTATTAATTTTCTATTTAAATTTAAATATTATTAAATAAAATACGAAATTATATGATATATTATAAAATATATATTAAACATAGTAAGGATATAATATTTTATCTATAATTTATTTTAATTCTAATATTATTAATTTTCTATTTAAAATTTAAATATTATTAAATAAAATACAATTATATGATTATATTTATTAAAATATATATTAAACATAGTAAGGATATAATATGCTTGTTGAAGATTTTTAATTTATTTATAATATCTTTGAAGATTTTAATTTTATTAGTTGAAAAAATAAATATAATTTAATTTTAATCGGTTATATTAATTTCATTAAAAATAAATTTTATTAAATGAATAAAAATGTTATATTATATATTAGATAAGCTATATATTAAATATGATAATAACAAAAGAAATCAATTTTATAAAACAAGAAATCAGTTTGATAAAATAAAAAATTATGTAATATATATTAAATATAGTAAAAAATTAAAATTCAATTCGAAAAAATAAAAATTATGTTGTGTATCAAATATGGTAAAAATATAAGAATTCAAGTTGATTTATTGGCGATATTTAATTTAAATAAGTTATTAAATAATGAAGGTTTGGTAAAAATAATTAGTTTAAGCAATAACAATTTATTGCATAATAATATTATTCAAATTAACATTTTAACTTCTTTAATAAAACTATCTTATTGTATGAAAAATTAATTATTTTATATTAATTGAAGTTACTAAAAAATTTAAAACTCATTCAAACAAAACTATTAATAAAATAATTAAATAATAAATAATAAATTGATATCAACTGATCTATACCAGCTAACTCTTCTAGCAAATAATCATAAGAAAATTTATAAATACAATTTAATTAAAAAATTAACACTTATCATTTAAATTTTTTATTATACTTCCAATAGTGATCACGAGGAATAACTTAATTATAAATTATTTATAAATCATAGTTATAAATGGAATTAAAGGTTTTATTAAATTGTAACTTTATTGTCTGGATTATCAATACATATGTTTGTTTTTATAAATAAAATTTTTTTTTTCTTTTGGCTATAGGATTTATTATTTTTTTATGTCAAAGGCTTTTCTCCTATCATTTTACTTCTTATTTATTAGAGATATTATTTTACTCGAATTATAATTATTTATATTTCCCATCTTCTTTTAATCAAAATTTTTGTTTTTGCGCATCATTTTATTATTATTTTTTATATTATTCATTCATTTTATTTACATTCATATTATAAACTTTACAATGAAATATTAAATAAAAAGGTAAATATATTTATCTTTTTTCTCAATAACTTATTATCATTTTTATTATATATATATGAAAAAGCTAATCAATCATATTTAAAGGAAAAACGAGTAACTATATAATGAAAACTAACACGCAACATACGTGGTCAAAAACTTATCATTATTCATTCATTCATTTTTTTGATTTTTGACATTTAGGCGTGAGATATAAATAATGCAATATTTATATATATACACACACAGGAAAAGAAAAGTACAATAATGTGAATGGGTCGAGCTATCTATGATTTTTAAATCATGTGACATTTTTAACGCATTAAAAATGATTTATCTACGCCTTATATATGTAAAAACAAGAACAATCAATTTGGACACCAATCAAATCTTGGAAAACTCGTGAAAAAGAAAAAAAAAAAAAAAAAATTCAAAAGTGCCCTCACTGCTCATTTCCTTTTGCATCCCCACACAAGGTTGGATGAGCCATGAGGCTGCAATGGCTTATGCTGATGGCCATAAGTTTGAAGAACGTAATTACTTGACGCATCAACTAATAATTTGAAGGTGAATGATCCATAAGAAGTTGCTGGATATTGAATGTAATGCGGTGCACAACCACGACCGTAATGGTTGAGGTTTTGGACTACTTATCATTATCATTTCAGCATATCAGAATCCTGCAGACATAGACAAAGTATCCAATATGAATTACATAGCATAATTAAAGCAAGCATCAGTGGATCTTTTAGGACTTAACAATTTATTTTTGGGGAGCAAATAGATTTTTTATATCATTTTTCATCAAATTTTAGAATAAGATTAGTTTGGTCTCCATTTCATTACAATCAGGAAGTAAAGGGAATCCCAAGCTATAGGAAAATGAAAGGGTACAAGAAAAGTGTTTATAAGAATTCTAAGGTTTACTAATTCAATATACATACATAGTATAGCAGCATTTAGCCAAAATCATATTTCAGTATTCACTGTGACAAAACCAACATGAGGGACAACTAATAAAATTCAGAAGCGAGAGAAAGAAAGATGGTAAGAAAAATAAAATTTTGGATATGCACCTCCAAGTAATTTCAAATTGAAATTTTCTGGGAGTAACATGTAATGTGCCTTCAAGAGTATTTCCGCTGTCTCTGTTATTTTATAATACTATCTGCCTTCATTGGTCATCAACTGGGAAAAAACATCGCTGGTTGTTATGTCTGAATTAGCATCACCGTTGTCTCTGCTTGATGAACCTTGAAGAACCATTGATGGTTTTAAGAGCTCCTGAGCATTTATATTGCCAGCCTCACGAGGTTCTCCTGATCGTCCAGAATCCTGAAGCTGAAGTGCATATTCCAAATTCCATAGCACATCACCCATAGTTGGCCTATCAACACCGTAGTCAGCCAAACATTTCTCTGCTGTTTCTCCATATTTCTTTAGAGAGCTTCGATTTATCTGTCCAACAAGATTGGGATCAATAATTTTCTCAAGCATGCCCTTTTTCTGCCACTGCATTGCCCATTCAGCTAAATTTACCTGTTCCCTCGCAAGCAATGGGTCCACAGCGGGTCTAGCACAAAGAACCTCAAGAAGCACAACTCCAAATGAATAAACATCTGATTTATCTGTCAGCTGCTGTCTCCGGAAATATTCTGGGTCAAGATAACCAAAACTGCCTTTGACACCAGTACTCACATGAGTCTCATTGAGACATGGGCCAGATCTTGAAAGTCCAAAGTCAGCTACCTTGGCCACATAATTTTGATCAAGCAAAATATTTGTAGACTTAATATCACGATGGATGATGCCTTGTGTTGAACCTGTATGTAGATAGTGGAGACCTCTTGCAGCACCAATGCATATTTCAAGCCTTTGCTTCCATGACAAAGGTTGATATCCTGAACCATATAAATGATTCTTCAGTGGCCCCCGTTCCATGTACTCATAAACCAATATCATTTCTGAGTTCTCTTCGCAGTAACCAATGAGCGAAACAAGGTGACGGTGACGGATCCTGGATAAAACTGTTATTTCTGTCTGGAATTCTGGAAGTCCCTGCCTAGATCCTGGCACACCCCTCTTTACAGCAACCGTTGTGTTGTCTCTGAGAACCCCTTTGTAAACCATACCAAATCCACCTGAACCAATAATTAGAATCTCATCAAAATTGTTAGTGGCCAATCTTATATCAGCAAAAGGGAACCTCAAACTGTGATACCCATTTGCGCCAGGAGATGCATTAACTGTCACTTCAGACAGTCTACTGTGAGAACTGCCTCCATATATGCGCAAAGGTGTCCAACCTGCACTCTCTGTCCTGCTTGCCATTGGTTTCTTCTGCTTCTTGCGTTTACATACAAAAATGACTGCAAGAACAGCCAGAGTCAATAAAACAAGGCCTCCAAGAATTGAACCCAACAACACAATCCAAATATGTCTTTTCTTGGATCCACTCTGTAAACCAGGAACATTTATCATCTTCATAATCTCTATCCCATTCAAAATAGCATTGACTTTCATAGAAGTGCTTACAGCTGAGGGTCCAACGCTTATATGCATAGCCCCAGAATCATCAGAATCTGCAATGAAGTCTATGAAGACCGGAGATGAAAGCATATGGAACGTGAGAGAAGACAAATCAAGATCCTTATAAGCAGAGTAGCCATTCAAGTATACATCAAAGTACAATTGGTTAAGTGAAGTACTGACGATATCACAAAAATGCAATCGAACCAAGTGTTTAACACCACCCGAACCAACTGGAAGTTTCCATGTAATGTTGAATGCTGCCCCTAACAAGGTTGTATTATCCCTATTCATCTGCTGTGCAGTCATATACACATTATCAGGTGCAATCTCTGGACTGGCACCCCCGCTCTGATAATTAGGAGTACGAGTAGTAACTGCACGTTTAGCAGCAGATTTTAAAACAAGAAAATCATCATCAGGTATCCACGACCTCCATAAAGTATCATTAAAAGGAGTCAATTTTAAACCTCCAACATTAATTCTGTGAAGTGTCTCTAAGACATCCGAAGAAAGATTCTTGTACTCATCAATTGTATTAGCACTAACCAGCCGAACTCCATAATCAATAATAAAATCCTTTGGAGCCGAAAACACTTCAATTGCATTAACAAATCCAAAACCACCAACAGGACTAAACAAAATTTCAAGCACTGCATCATCTATTCTCATTATATACTCTTTAAGAACAAGAACTTGGGTACTAAAATCACTCAACACCATATTATCGTTAACAAAAACGCTAAACGTTGCAGTTGATAAATTAAAACTTTGATCTGCGAATGGCGAGAAATGGAAACGTACCAAATGAGTCCCATTCCTCTTGATGTTGAACTTGTAGCTGGAAGCAGAGGTGAAAGCTCTCGCTGTATGGTACAAAGCGGGCAAATTTGGCGATGGGTTCCGGTCAGCCAGTGAAATAGACCTTCTTGGTAAGAGAAAAGAGGGGTTGGAAGAATCCGCGACAAAAATTCGGTTATAGAGAGACGTGTTGGTGGATGAGCCACAGTTGATAAGGTAATTATCTGTGGGAGTAAAGGAGGAAGATAAACCAAGGAAAAAGAGGAAAATTAGAAAGAGAAAGTAAAATAACTTAGTTTCCATTGAAGGAGAATCTGGGTTTCCTTCAAGAGAATAAACGCAGAGACTTCGCCTCTTTAAGACATGAAGTAGACAAGAGATAATTGTAGACTGTTAAAGATGGATTTGGATGTGAAGGAACAGAGTCACTTCACTCGTTTTTGACATTTGGGGCTTGATGGTTCAAGTTTAATGGTGACTTTAGGCCGTTCGCATTAGTTGCTTCCCCATTGGATAAGACATTGCAAAATAAACCATGGACAAACCAATTCTTACTTGCACATGTAATAAACCAGCAGTGTTAAACTTGATTAGGAAATACACCCAACTTTGTAAAGCTGCTAATACCACTAACTGTTAAAAAATAATCTTGCATTGCATTTAAACAAGCTCGTTTGGGTAGTTGAAACCATGTGATTTGCAAAAGTTGACATTATTATCTTGGAGCCTATTCTTGATACAAAGTTGCCCACTAAAGTTAAGGAGTTTTTTTATAAACCAAGCCAAGTGCAATGTCAAAAAGTAAAAACATGAAACATGCGTATCAATTCTTTCATTTCCTACTGCAAATGATGCTTTGCGTTGGCCAGCAAACTTGATGTCCAGATTCGATTTTCCTTCTTTCCATTTTATTTTTATTATTGACAAAATAAAACATTTATAAGAACCAAATTAGTAAAAATTTTTATGATCAGAAGCTTTTGAATTTACAACTTCCTACTTTTCCTTTTTTTTTTTTTTTTTTTTTTAGCAACACTCCTACTTTTCCTTTTTTTTATTTTTTTTTGTTTATTAATAACTTTCTTTTCCTTTTTTTTTTTTTTTTTGTTTTATAACTTTTATTATTTTTAATGAATTACTTCACTTGCATTGAGTTGGATTGCCCTAAGTAATTTCTTAAGTATTTAAAAATTATAATTATATAAACAATTGCTTAATCTCAGCAGATTTATAATTATAACATCACATTTCTATATAATTTAGATCTTACATAAAATATACTATCTCATAAAAAAAATCCTCATTTCCAATGCATCTAGTTGTGCTTGAACTCCTTGTGGAATGCAGCAATAAAATTCATGCCTAAAAATAAAAATGGGAGGTGCCCTTTTGATTTTTTTTTTTCAATGAACTGGACTTGGAAGAAATTTCTCAAATATTTTTAAAAAATAACCATTCAATATTTCAGTATGCATTGGGTGGATCGAATACTTATTTGTGTCACCAGTTTACTATCGTAGAAGCACGAACAACGAACTACTCCGAGAATAAAGAACTGCTCCGAGATTGTTTTTTTTGTTGATTTGCAAATACGGTAGAGTTTGCAAATGTGGCAGAGAACGCGTTATCCTTTTTTTTTTTTTTTTTTTTATCGCTTTTTTTTTTTATTTTTTGTTGGATCTCCACCCATCCTTCAAAATAACCTCCCGTGTCTTTTTTTTTTTTTTTTTGTTGGATCTCCACCCTCCTTCAAATAGACTCCCGTGCCTAACCGATTACGATAAAATTTAAATTTATTTAAATATCATTAATAGTTAAAAAACATAGGTCCAGATTAAAATATTATTTATTAATTTGTCCATATCCGTTGATTAATTTCTAAATAAATATTTAATCTTGGACGTTGGATCTCATGCGATACGACACACTTTGACAATTGGTGCCATCATTTGTCCTGATTCAAGCGTGACGTGGCGCTAACGAAAATGGTGGCATGGTAACCTTGCACGTATACGGAATGCTAGCGCAGTGCGAGCGGGTGCTCCCAATGCTTGTTGCTGTAGGTCCAGCCGTCCAGCACTTCACGCACTCGTGAGCACCACTGCAGTTTCTATGAAGAGTGATACATAGTGGACATCACTTTCGTGTATCTACTGCGAATATGAGCTGGAATCCTACAGGTATCGTTCACGTCCTGCTAAACATCTATGATATATAATAGTATAATTTTATATATAATTAAGCTAATTCACCCAATTGTACTGAAATAAAATAGATAGATTTTGAATTTCGTTATTAAATTGTCAAATATCTAATTAGTCCAAAGTTGATATTAATTTAATTCATATATCTAATTTAGTAAAGAAATGAACGCGAGAAAATTCTTTCATTTATTTTTGAACATGTAAAATTTGATGATGTGCAAATATCTCTCTTAAGGACTTTTCACGAAGCGTACATAAATGATTCAAACTATTCAAATTAATTCAAATCAATTTTAAAAAGTTGATGGCTTAATTTGAAAATATAAAAAATTGAAATATTAGTTCGATTTATAATTTTAAAGTTAAAATCACCTAACTCGAATCGAAATATGTATATGTAAATATAATATTTTTTCATGTGCATTTAAGTTAGTCAAATTTTTTTCTAATTTAATAAGTCATGTATTATAGATAATTTAATTTTTTCATACTCAAAATTTTATGTTTATAATAATACAAATACTTTATTATTCATTAAAAATTTATCAATATGGAGTTATTTTTTATTGTTTCTTTTATAATAATGAGTATATTTCAAAGTGCCAGCTAACTTGAACCATTTTTATAAGTTTTGTTGGCTTGAGTATATTTTATATGGTTTAAATTGGTTTAGAATTATTTAATAAATTATCATTATTAATTTGGTTAATATAAATATACACACCGAGGTCCGAGCAAATCGCTATTGAGTGTTTAAAGGAATTTAATATTAAACTCGAGATCTATGGTTAAAAAAGAAGAAATCATGTTATATTATCTCACCTATTTTCAATTTGTAATTATTTTATTAATACATAAGGATTTTGTTTTGATGAGTACATCTATAGTTAAATGCTTCTATCGATATTATAATTATTCTTTTTAAAATATATTAATTTAATTCATATATTTGTTTATCAAACCACTATAAAGTATCAATAATTAAATTCTAATGAAAAAAAAAATTGACTTCACCATGATTCAATAGTTTGATTTTTTTTTTTTAAAGGTTCCAATAGTTTGATTTAAATTATTGTGAATATAAGACGAATAACTTATACTAACAAAAATAAACTCTTGGAAAAAAAAAAAAGAAAACAGTAAAATAATATAAATAAAATATCAAAATTTTATTGTTGATGCAAATTCCATACGATGTCGTCTGAAAGCTTCATAGTACGTCTATTCGGTTTGCTTGATGCGTCGCGTCGGTAAACCAATCGGAAGAACGTTCTCTCAGTTTCGTTCTCTCTCCTGATGAACGGCAATCTAAGCACTCCCGCGCTCGGTTTGGATCATCTTTAACTAGTTCCAATCGCCAGAGAACCACAAAGCAGCGTAACATCGAGACGGAATCATCAATCTTTGCGTAAGCTAAGGTTTCTTTTTTCTTTTCAGATTTTTATTTTATTTTTTCTGTTCCAATTTCTAGGTTTTGTTTGACGCTCTTATTTCCCATCTCTTTGTCACTGCGAACGTCAGTGGCAATGAACAGAAAATATACATACTTATACAGAGTTATAGTCATCTGCGAAGGACATAATATAGTTCCAATTAGGACACGTCTCTGTAGAAATTGAACTTTCTCTGATTTAATTGAAGTGAATTCTAGTTATTTGAAATGGTAGCAATTAGTCCATATTATTTTGGAATGTTCTGATTTAACGATTTGTTACTAACATCGTATAAGAATTCAAATTCCATCATAGCGTATTTGAAACGCGTGCTTCTGTTTTTTGCTTGATAGCATTTCCTTTTTGTTTTTCTGCATGATGATCATAACTTTGTTTAATTATTGTAAAGGGCCAATGTAAGGTTTGCTCGAGTATAATCTGCCGTTGGTTTAATAGAATTATTGCTATTCTTGTAACATCTATTTAAATGCAGGTTCCTGCAGACTGTGATGATTTGAAGTGCTAAAATTTATTTGCTTGTGCGTCGAAAACCAATATGGTAAAATTCAGTTTTAACATTAACTTGCTTATGTATGATTAGCCTCCGAGTCTCATTCTTTTCTAATTTTGAGTTGTCTTTATTTACTTGGCGATGCTGGATTTCTTGACCTATTAATTGATGGATGCTGGAACAGCAGTAATATTGATTTGTGCTTTAAAGATCTTCCTCTGTCTATGTCTGCATCTTATGATTATATGATTCCAAAGTTAATTTTGGTAGTTCTAGACAACTGAAATTGCTTTTTAACCTTACCATACATTGCACATGGTCTTTTGTCTACATTGAATAAAAAGCCATACAATAGGGTACCATCTATTAAATTGCTGCGGAGTATCTGATAAGTTTTGCTGGTTTACAATTGGGAACAAACTCTGTTTATTGAGTAATTGCTAAAGCTGTGGAACCCAAAATATCAATACACATGTGTCTTGTAATGTTTTAAATTTTTAAAGGACCTTCTGAGCTAGGGGAAGTTAGAAACATGTTGTTCTTTCTGAAAAATACTTCACTGTCTCATATGATTTATCATGTGATTTCGTCATTTTTGTGTTGGTTGTCATAACTGGATGCAGGATCCAAATGGTTTCATTGATGAGAAGGCTGAAAGCAGACTTTATATTGGTAACCTGGACTTGAGAATAACAGAGTAAGGAAATTGATAGATGTTGCCTCCACAATTGCAAAACCACCATTTATATGATATAATCTGGTCTTATTAGCTATGTTTCTTTTTCTCCTCAGGGCTGCTCTGATAAAGATGTTTTCTCCGTATGGCAAGATTGTATCTGAAGACTTCTTATGGCATACTCGTGGTCCAAAACGTGGAGAACCACGGGGCTTTGCATTTATCCAGTTTAGCACGAAAGAGGTAACTTATCTGCATCTTTTGTCTTTACATTTAGACAAATTCCTGATTTCCACATTTAAAGTGAGCATGCAGGAAGCTAAATTGGCCAAGGAGAAGATGCATGGGAAATTGGCCTGTGGCCGCCCTTTGGTCGTTCGCCTTGCGAGTGAGAAATGCATGGAGGAAGTGGCACAAAATTCTTCTAGAGCAGTAGGTGAGATGAACAAGACAGGTATTGTTGGTGGCACTTCAGGGCAGATGAGTCGAAGTGCCAAGATAGCTGCAATAAAGAACAAATTGAGAGCGTTGGAAGAAGAGGGCTCCAGTGTGAAGAAGCAGAAGCAAGCCGACAGCATCTCTTGTAATGATAGTCATGACCTTTCATCTAGCGAAAAATGATGAATAAAGATGTTGAAAAAAGAATATGGTTATCTTTCAAGTATGTTCAGGTTCCATTAGTTTGAGCACAATTTGATGTGCCTACTTTAGGGAGGGGGTGCAGAGATGAATATATTAACTTCAATGATCATTCTTTAGCCTGAATTTCCTTGCCTCTGCTGCGTTCCTTATCGTAATTGACTTGTAACAATAGCCCCTGATGATGAAAATTGAATTGAGGATTTGGGATTTCATTGAAATGCTATTATTAATAGTGACGGCAAAATGTTTTCTTGTTTTTAAATATAAATCTATAATTTCAGGGTTTTCTGGAGGTACAATGATTTTGACTTGTTTTGGGCTTCGGAGCTCAGGGCGAAGCTGGCTGGCTTCATTTTCAAGTACATTTAGTACTGCGCAGGTTGCAGTGTCCCATGGCCAGTGCTTCAAGTCCTCTTTCCTCAATTTTCTTTTCATATATATAGGCTAAATTTTTTATTTTTTTGTAGAGCATGGATTCAAATAAGCTTAATTTTCAACCAAACCGCATATAATTTTGAAATCATGGAGTAAAAATCAATTTGAGAAGTTAGCAAGGGAGAATGCTAAATTTAGCAGGGTTCTAGGCGATTTTTTGGTTTAAGATGAAAAAGAGTTTATACCGTTGGATTGGAATTTTTCTATCAACACGAGTGGAAAAGTCATCAAGAGTCCTGAATTAACTTAACTTCCATTTTACAGCTTGAAACAGCATAGAAGCCAAACTTGTGTTCTGCCATTTCCAAGCACGCTGGAAGCTTGCTTCCTGCTTTCTCTCACACTCACCTCGTAGGGGACTGGAGGTCAATGGCGTCAAAACTTCCATTACTGCATATATCCGTCTCTCCGTTGCGGAAGCCGGAGATTCAAAGATCATATTTCTGTTCCCGCCAAAATGCCCATTCAGTCTCAACTACCACCTCGGCAGCCACACCAGCACTTCAAAGTTCATCAATTTCTTTAGGTAATAGAAGCCATACCTTTCTCTCTCCGGAATTGTACACTGAAGACTCCAGTTCTCTTCGATCTGTGGCAGTCAGATCCAATTTGAATTTCCCTCTTATTTCTCCTGGCGATCGATGGGGCACCTGGACCGCTCTCTTCGCAACGGGTGCTTTTGGTATCTGGTAAACATCCAATCCCTCTGTTCGCACAATATTTGATTTTTTTTCAATTGGGTATGATTTTAATTCTTTTGCTACGTAATAAAGCGTCATTTCTAAATCTGCCTCTGAAATTTAATTGGAAGGTCGGAGAAGACCAAGATTGGAAGCGCGTTGAGCGGTGCGCTAGTAAGCACCTTAGTTGGACTTGCAGCTAGCAATTTGGGGATTATTTCATGTGAATCTCCAGCTTACCCTATTGTTTTAGAGTTTCTGCTCCCTTTGGCAGTTCCATTGTTGCTGTTCAGAGCTGACTTGCGTCGTGTGATTCAATCTACTGGGACGCTTCTCTTGGCTTTCTTGATAGGATCAGGTAATTAAATTTGTAGAGAAGCAAATTGGTAGTTGCTATGTGATAATGAGTATTGAGTTTGTTTTGCTTTTGTTATGTGACAGTTGCAACTACAGTCGGGACATTAGTTGCATATTGGATTGTGCCGATGCGATCACTTGGTCAGGACAGTTGGAAAATAGCTGCCGCTCTCATGGGTAGACATATTGGGGGAGGTATTTTTATTCTAATGTTTCAAGAATTGTTTCCATGTATGCATAATTTCTTGTAATACTTGCAATGATAAGGTATCTGTGTACATAAGTAACTGCTTCCACCCGCACCCCAAAACTATCTGAGTTCCATGCTCTTCATCATGACTGATGATTGTTAGTTTTGATATTGCCAGCTGTCAATTATGTAGCCATTTCAGATGCTCTTGGTGTATCTTCATCAGTTTTAGCTTCTGGACTAGCTGCGGATAATGTTATTTGTGCGGTATATTTTACGACATTGTTTGCATTGGCATCAAAAATACCTCCGGAGTCTTCTGTATCAACTAATGGTGCGCAAATTCCTACCTTCATATTATACGATTGTTTGCAATTCTATTAAGTTGACAGATGAGTTGTTTGTTCAGTTGTCCTATATTTAACCAGAGCCTATTTAAGCCCTTCCTTCCCCTTATAATATGCAGGAAAAATGTTCAGTTTCTTCCCATGCTTCATTTTATTATCATATGATGCTAGTGAATTTATCCATGAAATATTTAGATCTCCCATTTTCTTTTATCATTCGATGGTTTTCCATTCTCTTAATGATTTATGATGAGCTTGATTCATTTCATATGATTTTGGATTGTACTATGATAGATGGTGCAATAGAGAGTGAAACTGAGCCCAGTGACAAGCTTCCTGTTCTAAAGATTGCAACTGCTATTGCTGTCTCTTTTGCTATATGCAAGGCTGGTTCTTTTGTCACAAAACTTTTTGGGATTCAAGGAGGTATCTTGCCAGCTGTAACGGCCATTGTTGTTATCTTAGCAACTGCATTTCCAACCCAGTTTAATCAACTTGCACCATCTGGGGAGGCTATAGCTTTGATTCTGATGCAGGTGAGCTGAATTTTACACAGTAATTCTCTATTTAGTTGGTTTTCTTTATCTTCAAGGTCTCCAGCTGCTCCACCTGTGAGGTTTGGTTAGTTGTATTTTGAATTTTGGTGTTATAGCCTACCCTTCTTGCCTTGTAAAAGATAGCAGTATTCATGCAACTTTTTTATTTCCCTTTCGCGAACAGGTATTTTTCACTGTGGTGGGTGCAAGTGGAAACATTTGGAGTGTGATCAACACGGCGCCTAGCATTTTCATGTTTGCTCTTGTCCAGATCACTGTCCATCTTGCCGTAATCCTTGGATTAGGAAAACTATTTCGCTTTGACCTAAAGCTATTGCTTTTGGCATCAAATGCTAATGTTGGAGGTCCTACAACTGCTTGTGGAATGGCCACAGCTAAAGGGTGGAATTCTTTGGTTGTTCCTGGTATTCTCGCTGGCATTTTTGGAATCGCCATTGCAACTTTTCTTGGCTATGCCTTTGGAGTTACAGTTCTCCAATTTATGTAAAAATTGTATGGCCAATCTGTAATCTGTTTAGAAAGCGAAATGTGATTTCATGCAGCTTTCTTTATGGTTACTGTAAGAAGCCAACCAAACAGCCACATGTAGGCTCATTGTCACTACACTGAACACGTACATCATCGATTCAAAAATGCTTTGATCCAAATAAATTTTGAAGTACACAAATCGCCTTGCAGAATTACATTTAATTTGACACGGCCAAGTTTCGTCACAGTTGAGGGTTGAAGTATCATCGCCACGTGTAGCTTTTTCATTGCATCAATATAATTGGGTACAACTCTGTCCATTCGATTCGGAAATGAACCCGAAAAAAAAAAACTTTTTTCTAAATGGAATTAATTTGAACGGCACTGGTTCAGTTTAGTAGGTTGGTTCGATTTTCAAGCAAATTTTAATTTATTTTTTATTACCCAACTAACATCTAAATCCAAAATTTTTTATTAATTAAAACCGAAGTTATTTAAAAAAAAAAAAAAATACCGGTTCAGTTTTTCGGTATTAACCGATTTATGCTCACACCTGGACTGGACTCATGTATTATCATGGATGTGAAGCAAACAAACAGATAGTACAGATAATAAAGATAAAAGTCCGCGATGCACCTCCAAATGAGAAGGAAAGGCCTTCAACAGAGTTCCTCAACCCTCTTCGTCTCCGTTGATGATGGCTTCTTTTCCATTACAGTCACTTCATTCCCCTCTGTCTCTTCCATTACAAATCCCGTTGCGCCAACTGTCCTCCTCTTCCCTACATAACATCAGTTTTTCAACCAGTTACTACTCGAAATCTACCCTATCATACGGCATAAATGGAAAAACATTCCCACCTTCTTCCATACAGCTTAAGCATACTAATTTGATTCGACCAATAAAACTCCGTTCACATCTGAGCCATCCTATCATTTCTCCGGACGACCATTGGGGCACATGGACTGCTCTCTTCGCCACCGGAGCTTTCGGTATCTGGTAGTCCCTCTCTCTCTCACGCATGCACGTATCAATAAATGTCTGCGCTTGAGTTTTGACTGTTTGTGTTTTCTGAATATTGAAGGTCTGAGAGGACCAAAATTGGGAGCATGGTGAGTGCGGCCTTGGTAAGCACACTGGTTGGGCTTGCGGCGAGTAATCTCGGAATCATTCCTTATGAAACGCCGGCTTATTCGGTTGTCTTGGAATTTCTACTGCCGCTAACCGTTCCTTTGCTCTTGTTTAGAGCAGACTTGCGTAATGTTATCCGTTCGACTGGGAAATTGCTCTTGGCTTTTTTGCTTGGTTCAGGTTACATCTCTAATCTCTTCTATTGCTTTTACTTCTCCACAAAGTTGATGAGATGCTCTGAATTTGTAAACATAATGTACTTAATGTCCACAGGCAAAGCCAAATTCCTAGAAGGGATAAGAAAATTGTAAGAGTAGGACCAATGTTAAAGTTGACGCCTCATTTTAGTGTTTGTTGGTAGTAATGAAGAATTGTGAATTGCTTTGATTGACAGCAATATATGTATAGTGCTTAAGATGATCTGATAATTTAGAACAAATTGATTGGTTGTCTTATCTTGATATGTTTTCAAGGACATTGAGATCGATGATGACAAAGAAAGTAATCATGAGCTGTATTATCAAGAAGATGCTTGATGTCTATTTTTTTTGTTTCCCAGATTTTATCAAGTTAAGAAAAGAGTCTGATTGATATACATACATCCTGAATTGTACTCTAGGCTAGCTGATGGAAGAAATAGAATCCTAGTGTTTGTTTGGAGGTGTTCATGTGTTCAAGGAGGCTTTCATGTGTTCAAGGATGTTAATGGCAGAGCAGATTGTGAAAGATTAACTTGTTTCTGAGTCCTGTAAGTTTCTCTATGGTTGTGCTTGTTTTATCTCACCTTAGCTCTTTCATTTAGTTTCCTCTTCCCCATATGTAGTCGGCAAATCACTTTGCCTGATGAATAAGACATCATACAGGACAATTGGCATGCATAACATTGTATCATTGCGTAAATCTTTTGACATAATTGGATCTTACTTTGCTTTGACATGGGATGTTTTATTGGAAATGCTTCTTTATATATGCACACCATCAAAGGAATCAGAAATTCTGTATGGTTGGTCTCTGTGGGATTTTCTTTTAATAATAATGCAGATTCTGCTTCTGCTGAATGTGCTCAGTCAGTCTGTGTCTAAACCATATGTTTTGCCTTACGTGCGTTAATATAATAATAGCATAAAGTAACCATAAGAATGTGCAGAACTTTGACTTTTGTATTTCATAATCTTGTGGTGAGCTGTCCTTTGCTATATTCGAAAGCTTCACACTTAAGTTTATTGCTAATGTATGTAGTAATACTGTATGTAAATAGCATGCAAAATATATGGCTATTTTCACATTGTAGCCAGGGCATTCTTTTTTCCAATTTAGTGCCTTCAAAAATTTTTGTTATTTTCTATCATGCTAAGAGATGAACTTGATTTTTTTGTCTGCTTGACAGTTGCAACAATATTTGGAACTACAGTGGCTTTCTTGATGGTGCCTATGCGATCCCTTGGTCAAGATAATTGGAAAATAGCTGCTGCACTTATGGGTAGTTACATTGGGGGATGTAAGTTTTTGTGAAATGATATTGCATATTAGTTTTGGCACAGAGTTAAAGTTCTAGGAGTTAAATTTTAAGAGAACTAGCTATGCCTCCATATTAGGGATGCAGTTCCTTCTACTTTGTGGTATACTTCTATTTATGTCACATCTAATGAGTTAAAAATATTATATCTAGGACTGAAATGCTGCATGAGAGATATTGTGTTAATTCATCACTTGAAAACAGTTGGCTGGGCCGTGCTGCTTTGTGCTTATTATGATTTCATGCATGTAAATATGAAGTATCCTTCCATTGTATGCACATTTCTTTCACTAAAGTTCTTTATGATTTTTTTTTCCAGCTGTTAATTATGTTGCCATTTCAGAGGCAATTGGTACATCTCCATCTGTTGTAGCTGCTGGTGTAGCTGCAGACAATGTTATTTGTGCAATATATTTCATGGTGCTATTTGCATTGGCCTCTAAAATTCCTCCGGATTCTTCAGCATTAACTACTGGTATGTGGTTTGCAAGTTCTCCTCATGTGTTGGTGAACGGGAAATTTTTCTACTAGGGTTTTGGTGTACTGTAGTTTCAAGCATACGATAATAATTCATTTTTTCTGATTTTCTTTTTCTTTTTTAACTTTTCTTTTTGCTGGTGGTTGTGGGGAAGGGTTTACTATGAAAAATATAGATATTATATACCCTACGTGGTAATGGTTATATGTATATAACAACTTATAATAACCTTTGTTGTTTGGACACTGATGCTTCGATAAGAATGTGAGTTACCAAATACAAATAATTTTGCTAGTACTAAACATTATGAAACTTCTATTAAAACATGAGACTATTTCACAGGAGCTGAAATGGATGTGGAGTACTCCAATTCTTCAGGCAATATCCCTGTGCTACAGACAGCAACAGCACTTACTATCTCCTTTATGATATGTAAGACTGCTACATATCTCACACAATTGTGCAAGATTCAAGGAGGCAGTCTTCCAGCGATAACAGCAATAGTTGTCATTTTAGCAACAGCATTCCCTACACAATTTGGTCGTCTTGCACCAGCTGGTGATTCTATGGCTCTGGTTCTGATGCAGGTAATTGAAATATATCAAATTTAGTGTATTTGCACCATACTCGAGTGTTTGTCTTAAATGGTGTTGCAATTTAAAAGTTTTTCTAGCTGTGGTCATGGATGGTTTACTTTAATAGTGTTTCTCTTTTACATTGCCAGAAACATTTTTATTTTTTTTTAATTTTTCTGGGTTTAAAATATTGCAAGTATTGCAATTTTTAAATCACGTAAACAACGACCAATCACATAACAAGTGTTTCTCAAAAAGATTGATGTGCAAGTTTAATATGGCAAATTCACTTGGATTAATATTTAAGTGAACGGTTCTAAATCACGAAAGAAAGACCAATAATTTTTTACTCCTATGAAATTGTCATCAACTTTGTTGCTATCTCCTATCGCATTTTGCTTTTCAAGTTTCTATTTTCTAAATTCTGTGCTGCCAACAACAGTATCTGAATTTTTATCTTGAATAAAAAAAGTGAAAAAAATTTGGTTTTTTCTGTGCTGGAAGAAATGAAAGCAGTGTGAAATATTTTTGTGGGCTGGGTGCTTTGGCAACAGGTATTTTTTACTGTTGTGGGTGCTAGTGGGAGCATATGGAATGTCATGAAAACAGCACCCACCATATTCTTGTTTGCTCTAGTTCAAGTAACAGTGCATCTTGGTGTGATCCTCGGATTTGGGAAACTATTAAACTTTGATCTAAAGCTGCTACTTCTGGCCTCAAATGCCAATATTGGAGGCCCTACAACAGCATGTGGAATGGCCAAGGCAAAAGGATGGAATTCTCTGGTTGTTCCTGGTATTCTTGCTGGAATTTTTGGGGTTGCTACCGCTACTTTCCTTGGCATTGGTTTCGGAACGATGGTCCTTAGACATTTGTAAAGGATAACAAAACTAATTAGCACAGCCATTCTACGCTGTACATCTAAATGCAGGTTGAAATTAATTTTGGGTTATGATGTCAAAAAATGTTTTTATTAAAGACATGGTAGTCTTTTTTTTTTTTTTTTTTTTTTTTTTTTTTTTTTTTTACGCTGTACATCTAATGCAGCGTTGAAATTAAAATTTTGGGGTGTTATTGATGTTCTAAAAAATGTTTTTATTAACAGACATCTGGTAGTCTTTTTTTTTTTTTTTTTTTTTTTTTTTTTTTTTTTTGTATCTGTTCTTTTTCTTTTCTTTTTTTTATATTGTAAATGAACCAAAAAAAATTTTTTAACCCTTTTTTTTAATTTAAAATTTTTTTTTCCCTAGGTGGGGCTTTTAAAAAACATTTCTATCATGTTCTTCTCAAAATGCCGTCAGACGTGCAAGAAGAGGAAAATAATAGGACATGGAGGAATTTAGAAAGTAGGTTTGTTGGAATTTCTTAAATGTTCTGATTTAGGATCTTAAAAATTAAACAAAAATGTCAAAAGTATTGGTCTGTTGTTTATTAAGTTTTAAAAAATATTCATTACCCAAGATTTTTTGTTTTTTTTTTTGGTTTGCGGCTGCGAAACATTACACGCTTGAGCATTTGAAATCCTTTTCTGAAATAACCTCGAATTCTTTATTATTCAAAATTTTTCCATATTAAATTTTAATGAAACGAAAGCCCCTGGAAATTTAAATATTAATATTTTAGTGGCCTGCAACTACTATGAGAAATCAATTCAATAAACCGATTCGAAAAAGTCGAAAACCAGTTTGAAAATCGACATGATTTGGGCCGAATCGAAACCGTTCAACTCCAAACACCATCTAGAAAATTCCCTTTCTTTTTGTTTTTTTCTTATCTCCAGCGCCTGCCAAACCTCTCTACTCCTCACCAATTCACAGCAGCGCCTTCCTCCTCCTCTCTTTCTATTTCTTTCTTTTTCTTCTTCTTTTCTTTTTCTTTCTTTTCTTTCTTTTCTTTCCTTTTTCCCTTCTCAACTGGCGCCTGCGTTCTTTCATTTCCTGGCGAGTGACCAGCACGGTGATTCGCCCGCCACCCAGCCACCGTGCGCCAACCGCCTCGCACTTGCTGTCGCAGTCGATTCCGCCATCGCCACCCTCCTCTCGGCCACCAACCTCCATTTCCGGTTTAACCAAAAAAGTCCGGCAACAATATATTGGTATAATTTCATTTTATAATATTATTGTAATTACAATTAATTTTTATATTGGTAACGTTTTAATTAATTTAAGTTAAATTAATGTTTAGTAATATTAGCTAATTTTTATTATTAGTTAGTCAATAATTTTAGTTAAGTTAATGTTAGTATTAGTAGTTAATTAAATTAAATTTATTTGGTTGTTAGCTGAATTAATTTAGTTAATATTACAATTAGCTAAATTGTGAGTAGTTACAAGATTTATTAATTATTGTTTGATTTAATGAAGTTTCGATATAACGTTATTGATGGAGGATTGGAAAAATTTTATTTGATTGATTGCCGCATGGCATGCGGCTGTGTGGTTTTGAAATTTTTAGATACAATTGTGTATTATTTTAACACGTGTGGATAGTTCCAACCTTTTGGGGGAGATTTGCTGCCCGAAATCGGTAGCGAAATAAAATAAAAAAGTTTCGGGTAGAATAATAAAAAATAACAATTCGGTATAAAAAAATATAAATAAATTTCGGGTAGAAGATAATAAATTAAAAATAGAGTTAGATAAAAATTAAAAAATAAAAAATAATTAATAATAATAAATAAATAAAATAAATAAAATATTAATTAATAATGAGTTATTGTTTTAGAAAAGAAATTTAATATAGGAGAATCAAATTAAGGTTATTAGAAAGTAAGATATAAAAATATAAAATTATTAGAGGTAAATTAAATATTTTATTCTTGATATAATTATTTTTTTAGATGTCATTCTTCTGAATTTCTTTAGATCGCCCGGGTCCATTCTATTGGCTCCTCCAGTGACAACATCAAAGTTAGAATTTCGCCTCTCCATCACAGTGAGTACATAATAAATAATGCATATTCAACGCCATGCATTGCATATCATTTATTTATTAAACATTTATATTTTATTTACCATATTGCAATTATATTATAAGTATTTTTATTCATATAATATATTATGTTACGTCCACTATAATTATACTATATATATTGGTTGCATTTTGGATGAATTCGGTTTATTAAATGATGAATGAAATGTTTGATTATTTTGTGCTGTTGACTATTACTGTTGATTTTGTTTTGTGTTGGAATTGGTAGATGAAAGTGGGTCACCATGGGTTTGTGAGACTGTTTTGTTATACGGATCCTGATTATGATTTCTGTTATTATTTCTGATTCTGTTATTATGGATTCCTTGATTTGTTTTCTGTTTCTGTTTCGCCGGGTAAATGGGGAAGATGCGGCGCTCCCGTGTCCCTTACCGTTTGCCGTTACTGTTAACCATAGGTTGGCTTCTTTTATCGGGCGCACCGGATAATCTATGATTTTTGGATCGCAGCCCGCAGCGGTGGCTCCTGTTGTTGAGCGCCTGATGATCTAGATTTGATGGAGACGGGACCGGGTTGGCCTCCTGTTTTGGTATGGAACAGAAAAAAGACGAGAATGGAAAAACCAATTGGAGAGGCTGGTCAAGTGAGGATAGGACCGGTCGACCAGTATGGGGGATCGGCTCCCTGGTGCACATGTGCAGAGGATGAGCCAGTGGCGAGGACGGCTCATTCGGTGGTGTTCGGTGAACTCCACTTGACTAATTTCCACGTTCGATTGGATTATTTGAAGTGATATTGTTACTCTGTGGGGTTTGCTGATTATGATGCCATATGATTCGACTGTTGGTGTGTTCTATTCATGTTTACTAGGTGCTGCATTTTGCTTGATTGTATGTGGTGTGTATTTATTTCATTATTATTCACTGAGTTGCCAAAACTCACCCCCCCCACATAAAACCTCTTCAGGGCTACTTTAGGAAGCAGCGGATTTTCACTGAAGCTCTTTGCAATTCTCTCCGCCCAGAGTTATTAAATGTTTAAAAACTTTTATTACTTTCTGTTTATTTAAATTTTTGGGATTGTATAAAATTAATTTTCTATTATCAGGACATTATTATTGAAAAACTCCGCAGTATATTTAGGGTCCGTTTGGTATTTCCAATTGGGCCTTGCCGTATTGCGTTTGTTTTATAAACGGTTTGGTTGTTATTATTAGACACAGGGGATGGAAACAGTATGCCATTATTATTGAACGTTGATTTGATAATGGGACTAGGCCCCAACACTAATTTTATTGGAGATAATTTAAAATTGGGGCCGGTTTGTACTAACATTTTATTTAAACATCTTATATTTTCTTTAACTTGTATGGACTTTATGCTTTCTATTAAAATGGTACGGATTGTTATAAAGCTTAAGTAATTGGCCTTTACTACGGGCCTCGGGGCCTTTATGCTTACCTATCTCTCTCTTT